ATCCAAATGATTATGAGTCAAAATCAAAATTTATTAACGGAATCAACATATGGCTGAAATGATCTTTATATTTAATTTAGAATCTATTTTAATCCTCGTTTGTTATCCCCTCAAGTTTTCCATTTGTTGAACGTTAAATACACATCGTCCCAAGGGCATTTTCGGTACATAAAGTTTGTATTTTTCACAAAAATTAAAAAAAAAACAATTAAATTAAGATACTGTAATAAAAATACAAAAAATTAAAAGTTTCATATAATATTATTGGGGGCTTAATTAATTCTTTTTATATTCTACAACCCTAATCGCTCCTCGACCAAAAATCTTTAGAATAAGTTGTATCATAAGAGAGATGGAGAGTTGCTTCACAAATGGAGAAGAAGACCTAAGAGACGATCATTTCCTACAAACTTCATGTGAAAATCTACTTGATAGTATTGATTCGGCGTTTTTTTTTTTGGGGAGGGGATTAATGGTAAAGATGTAAAAGTGCGTTAATTCCCCATCGGAGGTCGGAATTGTTGTAGTTAGGGTCGAAATCCGGCAACAAGTTCGACAAGTGTGAACAGAAAAGTCAATGTTGACATCGAACCGGGAAAAAGAAAGGCTTCGCTGAGATAATGATTAGATTAAAATTCGAGGTAAATTGGGGTTGATTCGAGAAGAAAAACTAATAACCTCTAAACTGCATATTTTTATTTTTATTTTTATTTTATTTTTCCCTCATACTAAAGAGAAGGAAAGAGGGGGATCCAATTTAAAGTTTAAACAATTGAGGGAGGTCCAGTTTCAGTTAAATAGTGAAAACTTAAAAAATGGAGGGAAAAAATTGACGAAGTTACACGACGGTGGCCAGTGGGCGGATGTAGACTTCAAGGGGTTTACATTAGAATTAAGAGAATGTGAGGGGCTGAGATTTCCACCAGAAAGAAAGAGAAGGAAGGTGTTGAAATTTAGTAAGGGTGATTTTGTCAATAGAGTTAAATATTGCTCTAGAAAAATTAGTATGTGCAATAGTATTGCAAGGATGTTAAAATAGTATTGCTCTAGTAAGGGTAAGGGTGTTGAAATTCAGTAAGGGTGATTTTGTCAATAGACTTCAATATTGTCATGAAAAAATAGTATGTGCAATACTACCAAACTACTGGGTGCCTCGCGCGTTGTACATGTTATGAAAAACTTCCCGAATAAAGTGAGAAATATTAATAGTCGGAGAATGTATGAATTAATTGCGTTGAAACGATATGTTAAAATGCATTTTGGTTATTAATATGACATAATAAGAATTTAGGTAAATTGTTACAAAAGTAAATAATTAATAAATTCATTACGTGGGGGTGTACACCTAAAAAAAAAAAAGAAAAAGAAAAAGAAAACGCTATGTGGAAAAATGTCGTCTTGTCTGTGGTTGCTTTAGGGCGTTTTGTGATAAAGTAAAATTTGGAAATTTATTTTACATCCTAGAGTAACAGTCGGATTAAAGATATTTCCGGAAAAGAAATTTTGAATATTAAATAATTATGTATTCCATGCATCATCGTTTACTGTAAAAAAGTAGCAATGACTTCTGAATCTTAAATAATTACGCATATATTATCGTTTGTGTAAAGTAGCAATGACTTCTGATATGGAAATGATGTTTTGTGGAGTTTGATTTTTAAAACATGGTTGAATGAGATTATCACATATATGAAATTTCATTATAAAAACTATATTGTTTTCTCATAGTTTATCCTAGTTTTCATTTGTAGTTATGTTTAGTCATTATTCACAAAATGATGTGTTTTCTTTTTGCTTACATTAATAATAATTACTTTTAGAAACCAACAGTCTAGTGAAACACGTGTAACGCACGGGACATAAAGAATCACGATAAAAGTTGGGAATTATTAATCTTTGTTTCGCAGATAATTTAATCATTCTGTGTCATGCTGATGTGAATACTGCTAAGATAGTTAAGCAGGTGCTAGATAATTTTGTTGCTACAACTGGTTTATGTGTAAACTTGAATAAGTCCACAGTCCATTTTGGGAACGTAAAGTAGGATGCTCAGCAACAGATTCTTCAAATGCTGAAATTTGAGCAAGGTAGCTTTCCTATTAGATATCTGGGTGTACCCTTATCTCCGGTGGTTTGGACAGAGAGAGATTATGAAGTTCTGGTAGAAAAAATGGTGGGAAGAATCAAGAGTTGGGAATCTCGACACCTATCTTATGCTGGCAGACTAGTTTTAATAAACTCTGTACTGCTGACTTTGCATTCTTACTGGTCTAGTATTTTTATCATTCCAAAGAAGGTGATACGACAAATAGAACGGGTATGTAGATCATTCTTATTTAAGGATTCTTGAAGGAGCTGGTCTCTTGTTGCTTGGAAGAACATTTGCCGAGATAAAGCTCAAGGAGGATTGCATATTAAGGATCCAGAGGTATGGAATAGAGATTTGATTGGCAAGCAAATCTGGGACTTAGCTAGCCAAAAGGAATCTCTATGGATTAGATGGGTTCATACATACTACTTGAATAATGCAGGAATTTGGGAGTATCAACCTCCAGTTGATTGTGGATGGCATTGGAAAAAGCTAATGCAAATTAGAGATCAACTAAAAGAAGGAGCTAAAGATGGGGATTGGTCTATCAATGTTGGATTACCTTATAACACAAGAAGGGGTTACAAGTTGTGGAAAGGCAGCATACCTAAAGACAGGAAGTTTCAGATCAGTTGGAGCCCTTATGCTGTACCTAAGCATAACTTCATCTGCTGGCTAGCAATACAGGATATGCTCTTGACACAGTCTAGGCTTAACAGGCTGGGATTTCTTAAAGAAACTGAATTTTGTCAGTTGTGTAATGGTCCAGTAGAAGATGGAGAGCACTTATTCTTTGGTTGCAGATTTGGCAAGGAGCTGATTCAGCAGCTTTTACAATAGCTGGGTCTGAAGATCATAATAAAAAACCTCAGGGAATGGACTTCTCGTTTGCTCAATATCTGGAGGTATAAGAAGGTGAGGCAACAGTTGTTGTTTGCTACAATAGTAGCTGCCACATATCATATATGGGCAGAGCGTAATGCAAGAAAATTTGGTTAGCAGAGATTGACAGTTAGAGAAAAAAAGTTGGCTATCATTCAAGAAGTAACTTGGAAAACTCAGTGGCAGTGTCACTTTAGTAGTAATGATGACATTAGATTTTTTAGTTTACTTGGTATTCATGTAAATTGTTAGTGAAGTTGATGTATAAAGCATTGGTGGATGAACAGTTTAACCCTAATCTCTTCTATATTACTATCTCCATTCCGATTTATAAGAGGTTTTAGACATACTTTCTTCATTCCTTTTTATAAGAAGTTTTACATTTCCAAAAACAAATTTAATGACTTTTTTCCTTCCTTTACCCTCACAACTAATCAATTCAAATATTAATTCAACTACTTCATTAATGTAATCAAAGACAATTTGGAAAATTTACAACAATTTTAAGACAAAAAGTAAATTTTTTAGTTTTATTAGTTTGTGTAAAGTTAGTTAACTCCATCTTATAAATAGGAATGGAGGTAGTAATATATAATATATATGATATGGTTGTGGAGCCAGACACAATAATTAGGGTAACGTGCTAATTTTAGAGGGAAAATGACAACTTTTACGGGAGTTTTAGCAATAAAATAAGAGATCCTACTACACTAAAAAAAATACAACAAATCAGACGTCATTAATTGCCTAATCATTATCCCTATTTTTGTCTAAACAGAATTAAAACTTAAAAGCGCCGCCTTACAATTTGATCCCAAATTTAACCATATTCCAATTTGACCCCGAATATGTGACCCCCAGAACAATTATGGCCTTGGCCTATAGAAAACCAAACCTTCCATTCTTTCTCTTTCTTATTTCTCCAAGTCATCTCACACGCTACCAGGTAATCTTCTTAGCCTCGGCTTTGCATTCAATCAACCCTCGCCTGTTTTGTTTCCGTCTCTAGTTTAATTCTTGCTCAAAAGGCTATAATTCTGCACTTTTAAATGCAAATTTGAAATTTCCTGTAATTTTAGGTTTTTTTTTTTCCTGGCAGAAGGAATCGAGTGGGAAGAAGCAATGGTTGGTGTACAGCAATGGTTGGTGTACATGGAGGAGGCACGACAACGACGAAAAGCAGCTCACCCTGCTCAGCCCATACCCGCTCCTGTCTTCCACAAGGTGTTTGCTATTTGTCCTGCCCATTTATCATTCAATGATTTACCACGACTTGCTGGCTCTGGTTGCTTGTTTTGTTTTTAATTTGTGTGAGTCTTCAGGTTTAATTTTTTTGGGGTTTGAAAGTCATTTTGTGAAATTTTTACCCCCTTGTTTTTGTTCGACGATTATGGATTGTGTGTTTTCTTTCTTTTAACCATGATTTCCCCTTCTGTGATCATGAATTCTTGTTTTGTGGTACTACAAAGAGTATTAGATATGTTTTGTTGTTTATATTTATCTGGCTTTCTATCTGTACTTGCTTTTGTTGGTTTTGTTCGTGGGAGATTGATGCCTTGACATTGGTGGTTGATTGGGCTATTGGTCTGTTTTAGTCTTACCTTTTGGGTTGAGCCTTCTGCACCTTGATGGAGCAGATTTTATTTATTTCTTTTTGGTCTTTATGAAACATTGAATTGTCTTCTAATGTGATAAAATGTTTGTGCAATTGCAGTTTGATAAATGCGTGTCAAAATTGGCTAAGTTGAGTAATTTTTCCCTGAAGAAGTTCAAGTGCAATCATACCAGTATAGTTTTTACCTGCTTCCCCCTTCTTTCCCCTTCTGTTATTGTGATCACCCACTGTATGATTAAAACCTATCTTTGCAGAAACAATAAGCCGGGAAATGGTATGTTCCTTAGTTGATGTGTTATCAAGGGATGATGTTCCAGAGCTCCAGGTTTGATTTGATGCTGCATCTGTTGATTTTCATGACAATTGTTCTGTGACTTGAATTGTCTGACTTTGTTTTTATGTCTAAATAAATAGTTTGAAGCTGCCCTGGCTTTAGCAATTATTGCATCTGGGACTTCTGAGAATACTAAACTGGTGATAGATGAGGGTGCTGTGCCTGCTTTTGTAAAGCTCCTGGGTTCTCCTCGTAATGATGTTCACCAGATGGTCAGTTTTTTCTGAGGGCTCTTCTTGCTTTTGCATATATGGGGCTGAAAACTCTGATTTTTAATTTTTTTCTTTTTCATTTTTTATGGAAGTTTAGAATCAGTTTGACTTAATGTTTTATATTAATGTCTAGGCTGTATGGACATTAGGAAACATTGCGGGTGACTCGCCAAGTTGTCGTGATTCTGTCCTGAAAGAGAAGGCTTTGATCCAATTGCTAAAACATATGAATGAGCGTCAAACTCTTCCAATGCTGAGAGATACGGCATTTACGCTGTTAAACTTCTGTCGGGGAAAACCTGGACCTCCATTCGAGCAGGTTAGCTGTATAACTAATTAATTCCCTCCCCCCACCCCCTCTCCCTTTTTCCTCTTCTTTAATGCTAATAATGGGGTTCAATTTTTCAGATGTGTCATGCCCTTCCAGCTCTTCAGCTACTTCTTTATTTTAATGACAAGGATGTGTTAACATATGCATGCTGGGCTCTATCATATCTCTCTGATGGTACAACCAAGGAAATCCAAGCTGTAATTGGGGCCGGCGTCTGTCCACGACTTGTGGAGTTACTTTCGTAGGTTTCACTTGATTATCTTTGGTTTTTCTTTCCTCAGTTGATTTCTGATATGAAAACAAATTATTTTCTTTCAGACATCAATCCCCTTCGGTACTGATTCCCGCACTCCGCACTCTCAGGAATATTGCGAGAGGAGATGATTGTCAGAGACAGGTTTGTTCATTTTGCATTTAAAGTTTGAGCTCAGTGGGTATACTGTATGTGAATGACAGGTTGGAATGTTTCCTAAATGTTAATTGCTTGCAAACTTGTCGAACAGATCTAATCTTGCTAGGTTTGTAGAGGAAAATATGGTCTCCAATATTGCTGTTTTTAATTTGCCTACTCATTCATCTGTTTTTTGTTTCATTTCTACGCCCCATTGACGTCCACCAGTCAGTAAGACTTTAAGGTGACACAATTTAATATTTATGGCATTAATGGTAATTGTTCTGTATTTCAGTGTATAATTGAACACAGGTTGCTTCCTTCTTTAAAAAGTCTGCTTCTTCATGGATGTAATATAACCATCAAACAAGAAGCCTGCTTGACAGTCTCTGCTATTACTGCTGGGAATAAGAAGCAGAATGAGGTGTGATCTTTTTCTACCCCCCTTCTCTCTTTCCTGTAGTCAAATGGTCTTTGTTAATGGTTTTGTTAAGCAGTTAACTGGTTTATGTTAAAAATTTTGTTTAAGCAGTTCTTTGATGGCTATTCTTTGGATCTACAGGCATTGGTTGATGCTAAGTTGATTGAACCTTTAATGTCTCTGCTAAAAGATGGGGAGTCTGATATAAAAGAAGAAGCTGAACAGGCTGTGTTAAATATTATCTCTGGTGGAACTCGTAACGGAAACAAGTATTTTTTTCATCATTTGTCTCTTCTGGATTTCTAACTTCTTATGTTTTGAACATTGATCTAAAGGTTTGTTTTTTAACTTTGGGTCATGGTGTGCAGGGATTTTTGTTTAAAGGGCCTGTTAATGTCACTACGTGATCTTCTCGGGTCCTCTGATTCGAGGATTGTTCCCTTTTGTCTAGATGGGCTTAAAACCTTGTGTACGCCGGCTCGTGAAACGGGAGCAAGGGGCTACAACTACTTTGCCATGTTGATTTTCAGATCCAAGGGGTATAATCAGATCAAGGAATTGACGAGCCATCCAGACCTTGGAATCAGTGAAAAAGCTTCGAATCTATATGAGATGTTATCTAGCGAGGAAAAAAAACTACAGAAACTCATTGATGATGGAGTCCCAATTGAAGGAGACTTATTTGTTTGACATGTAATTTGATCCTAATATAGTAGCCACTGGCCGTGAAGTTTTGGTCCTTCTATCAGTGTTGTGGTTCCTAATACTCTCATCGTGTTTCACAGTCTAGCCATACCAAAAGACATTAAGAATTTGGCTAAAATACTTGTTGCACAGTAAGAAGTAGTGTTCCTTACTTTAAGCTTCCTCATTACACAACAAACAATTCAAGGTCTCATTCGTAATCTTCAGCTTCTGTAACCTTTCAGAAGTCCATAAGCGATCCTTCATAGCTAACCAAGCTATAAAGCTGTGTCTTGGAATATTAATTGCTCCAAACGAACTTAACTTCTGGCCATCTTCGTCCTTCACCCCTCAGCCATATATATCCTGATTGAACAGAATATTTACCAGTAATTGCAGCCTGCCATTTGCCATTACTTCAACTTCCAATTTTTCTTTCAAGTTCATCAACTTGCGCCAATGCCAGCTTACGTTATTCTGAGGTTGATAAGCCAAAAATGGCTTACCTTTAATGTAATACTCATGACACCACTTAACCCGAAGGTTATCTTCCTTGTCTGCTAGGTCCATAACTAATTCCCAAGAGCAGTCTTAGCTTCCGGTTCCTTGAAGTTTAGGGCACCGTTGATTCTAGGTCTACACAAGTCATCCCATGCCACTAAAGAATATGACCTTCCATTTTCTTTACACCCCCACATGAACTCCCTACACAGCCTCGTTACTTGAACTATAATACTTTAGGGATCATGAAGAACTTGTAATACCTCCATTCAAATTCAGTGAATAACAACTAGTTGTGAAATACATACCATAATCCATGAGATGAACTTCTCTGGGATTCCAAAGCACTCCAGTATCTCACGTTACGAACATCCAATTAATTGAATCATACGGTTTTCGTAAAACCACTTCCATAATGCATCTCGGACTGACTTGCTTCCTTCTGTAAGCTCGAATCATTTCCCGAGTTAACAAAGTGTTTTGCATAACAGTTTTCTGTTTCACAAACGCACCCAGATGGGTTGTATAGATATAAGCTTTTGGAACAAAATACGAAAATCCATTAAATTCTGGAGTAAACGGTTGTAGAACCAAACATTGTCTTTTGTGTGTGTGTGTGTGTGTTCTCGTGTTTTAGCTTGGCCTACACTTTCTGTCTTTCTCTCTTTAGAAAATCTCATAATTGTCAATGCTCTGCACTTCATACACCATCTAGGTCCGTCAGAAGCAAGTGCACCATCTAGGCTATATTTGGAAGGTTTTTTGAGTGTGTTCTTTTCTATTGGGAATGTAAAAAGTTGTATTAAAAATATAAAAAGGTACATTGGAAATGTAAAAAGGTATGTCGGGATGGGATAGATATTAATTAAAAATTCTGAAAAAATCAACAAAAAAAGGAACCAAACTAAATTTTTTCGGCCCGAGAATTGTGAAATGACAAAACGCATACAATCTGGTTTCTCAGGTCTCTTTTGCAAAATTCCCTGGAGGTCGTCAGTGGTGATGAAATGGTGGATCTCATGCTTTTTATAAGAGTAGTTCGAATGGCTCTTCTTTCGGGTTTCTTCTATCTATTTTGACTAGGGCTGTCAACGAACCGAACATTTCGCAAACAGTTCGTGAATAACTTGGTCAAAGTTCGGCTTCAATTCGACTTTGACTGAACTGGAGCCGAATTTGAACAATTCGATTAGATAGACGAATCGAGCACGAATATCAATATATTTAATTCGAGAGTTCGTCGAGCCTATTCGAACTTATTATAAATTATTTTATTTTTATTATGAATAGTATATAATTCATGAAAACTTTTCTTTTTATTCCTTAAAAATTATTATCTTTTATATTTTGAGAGAAGATGTAATAATGGGTCCCATATACATATTTTTTATGATTTGTCAAAGAATTTGGCTCATAAATTACATAGATTGAACTTGTTGAATTAAAAAAATGACAAATATTAAAATTTATTCGAGCTCAATATTATAGAGTATTCGAACTTAATTTTTATCGGACACAAAAATTCGAGCCAATTGAGCCGAGCGCGAACTATTCGTTTTTATTTCGAGCCAAACTCAAACTTCAATTTAGATCTTCGACCGAATTCAAACTTGAATACAAGCTCTAAGTTTTTCGTCGAATTCGACCTCGAGCACCTAACTGTTTGGGATTAACTCGGTTCGTTGACAGTCCTAATTTTGAGGCAGTATATTTCCTAGCAACAACCGAGGTACAACCGACATTGTATGAGATTCTGGATAAATTTCTGTGATTAATTGCATGATGAGTTGCGATGGCCCGGGGGACTACGCGCTAATATTTTGGCACAAGGAGGAATAAATCACAGCAGATGTTCAATTAGAGCCTCCTAGAAAATCAAATCAAAAACAGAGGGAAACTGGTAAAAGTCACAAGCCTGGAAATCAACATGTCATATTCACTAAAGCACAGCAGACAACTCCCTCTGTCACAAAATAATTGTCCCCAAACCAAATCATTTTGAGACGGAGTATTCAATAAGAGCCTTACAGACATAAACAACCAACAAGAAAATTAGGGAACTTGGCACCACCCTAGAAATCAAAATGTCGAATCACTAAACGAAATTTTGAACAGACACAACCAAAGACAACAAGTAGAAACAGATATGAAGAAAATTCCATCAATGTTTGAGATAAATTACTGTAGAGGGGAAATTTGGCAGAGAAAAGATTCAGCATACGACGACAAACTACATATTGACATCAGTACATCACAAACAATTCAGTACTATCATTACAGTCTGGGATGAAAGGATCACAATCATCATGCATTAAGTAGTTCAACTAAACATTTAATTGCCACAAGTATTTCAAAAATTAGATGGAGATTAATACAGTACCTAAAAACTTAAAAGAGGTCTCAAGTTTACTTCTAATTCGACAAACGCTGGAAGCATCATAATTGGTGAAGAGGTTGGGTACTCCTTGGTACTCTCCTAATATGGTCTCAACTTAGTGCCAAGCTTTAGATCCTTACGGTACTTGTTATTCAGCTGACAGCAAAAAAGTGCACACGGCTTATCTGGATTCCAACCTGATAAGAGCTTCTCTTTGGTGTCACAATAGAGCACCCTTCTCTCCTCGTAGACATAGGCATAGTCGTCGTGGTCATCATCCTCCCCTCCCTCCTCCTCCTTCTCCTCCTTTACAAAATAATCATCAAGATCATCATCATCATCGTCATCGTCATCGTCATCATCAACAACGCCACAACAAGCAAATGGAGGGTTACCCTGATCAGGGACAACAACACATTGAGCAAGCAAGGTGTCCTTTCTGCTGGAATCAGCAACTAGAGGAGCTTTGAAGGTAAGATAATACATAGTTTCCAAAGATTCAGGGCAATAAGCCACGTTCTCAACCTCCATCCCATCATACATATATTTCTGCAAGAAAAGAGCAATAAACAAGACTAGAGTAAATTACCCTGGCCTCCCTTGTTTTGTTATTATGAAAGTATAAATCGGAATCAATCCACAGGTACACTAGAAGGGGTAGATATAGGTAGGGTACCTGCTCATGTATGTAATAATTGTAAAATTCGATGCATTTCTCAATTATCCAATTGATCTTGACTTGATCATCTTGTTTATAAGGTAAGATAGGTGCATCCTGAGGAGCACGGGTGATGCCAAAACCCTGGAACAAATCCCACAAAAACATAAACATAAGCGGGAAAAGGAAAAAAAAGGCTTAAAGACATAAATAACCAATCAAATTAAATTAACCTGAGTTTGGTGCATTATCTCGTAGTACTTTCTCCAATTCTCCTCCTCCAACGAGGAACGTCCATCCCTTCCTGATTTCGATTTCGCTGCAGCTGCGGCCTTGGCAGGTGATTTGAACTTGGCAGAAGCTGCAGCCGCCCTTCCTGATTTGGATTTCGACGCCGCTGCGGGCACGGCGGGTGATTTGAACTCAGGTGAAGCTGCTGCCTTGGCGGCAGCCGCCTTCATGGCGGCAGCTTTGGCGGCTGACTTGGACTTGGTAGGAGCTGCTTTCACGGTGGCAGCCTTCTTGGCGATGGCTGCCTTGGCGGAGGATGCCTTGTTGGCCTCCTTGGAGGCGGCGGCGGATGCCTCTTTGGCGGCGGCTGTCTTCGCGGCTGCTGCCTCCTTGGCTGCCGCCGCGGCTGCCTTAACGGCTGCTGCCTCCCTGGAGGCTGCGGCGGCTGCCTCCTTGGCGTCTGCCAGCTCATTTGACGATAACTTCTCTTTTCGGGAATTAATTGCCGATAACCTAATCGCATTTGCCTCGGCGAGTAACGCCTTGAAGGCCGCGTCCTCTTCCGCTGCTGCCATCACGGTTGCAAGCTTATCGGCTGCTTCCGCAGCTCCAATCATTGCAGCGACAACTGCCGTTCTGTAGTCTCTTTCGATTGAGGACGATTTTGAAGGAATTGAATCAATTGATAATTTCTTCATGGCTGGTTCGTAGGGGTCGACCCCTGGTGGAGTATCAGGCAAGAATTGTGGGTTCATCGGATCACTCCTCTTATCCGCTGATGAAAAGCCGGCACCGCTCGTCTCTCCTCTTTCAGAAACCATAAAATTTTTCCAGGTTTCGCTCCAGAATTTGACCAAGATTACAAGGGAAGAGAGCTGATCGCTGGAATCTGTGCAACCCTGTCGTGCTACGGTGTCGTTTTTTGTTTTTAAGACAAATTATTTTTGGGTTCATATAGAAAATACTCCCTAATTTTATTTGATTATTATTATCTAAAAAACTCTTAGTGTTTTAAAAAAATAAAAAAATCCCTAAATCGACTAGTCATTTATCAAAAAAAGTCCTCCGGCCACTGTATAATAATGTTTGCACATGAACTCCGCTAAAAATGTCTAAAAAATGTTTATACCCCGGTGAACTTCTCCTGGAAACTCTTTTTTTTTTTTTTTTCTTTCAAATTCTAATAAAATCAAATATCAACAATTTCTAAATCCAAAATCAACTTTCTACAAGTCCCGAAAACCTAAATTTTAAACTTAAAGGTGAATATTTGATGTTATTAGAGTTTGAAAAGAAAAATAAGAAGGGTTTCGTGTGCATACATAAACTCAGTTGCAGCCTCGCCTCAAATCTAAGCCCTCATTCCCGGTCCAATCGTCCCTTTATACTTCATGAAAGCAGATAACACTTAAGACACGTGTCAGCTTCACATGAGTTTTTTTTTCCCGCCTAAACAAAAAAGCTATACCCAGAAATTCGACACGTGACACTATGTTGTTGCAAAGAAATTTACCCAAATATCCTCCAGATAAATGATTTCATCAACACAAATTCTAGTACCCTTATCTCCTTCATTCATGAATGTTTCAAATCCATAATTTTGAATTTGGCATCAAATCCCCAAAATCACACTCACTTATCTTTTCACAAAATCAATCCCCAAATCCCGGATGAATAGCTTCCGAAAGACAACAAAGATTCTTTCCATATGATCTTTCTATTCAATTAGAAAAATCAAAATTCAAAAACATTTCCATTGCCAATTATAAGCCAAAATGAAGCTAAAAAGCAGGAACAGAAAGATGTTAAAGACGCAGATCCGGGATGTGAAAGACATTGATAGTTTTCAAAGTTCGAAGAAAAAAAACACATATGGTGTTGCCCATGATGGCTATGCCAAAGATGGGGACCCGGGATGAGCTTTCGCGTGTTGCGATGGTGCCAGAGGATGAAGAGGATTGTGAGAAAGATGATTTGGTGGTTGATTTGGTGTTTCATTAAGGTCAACCCGAAGCGGATCTAAAGCTTTGTAGTATGTCAGATCTATTAATCCGCCCCTAGCACAATTGAATTTTCTGTTGTTCGGCGGAGGACGATCTGAATCTCACGGCGATGGCAAAGGCCAATCTAAGTGGCGGACACATGAGAAATTCGATTTTTTTTTTCTGATGAATAGAACCCCCCCCCCCTCCCAAAAAAAAATTATAATTTCTCTATTGCGGAATCATTGGACTTCTCATAAAGTAATCATCATCATGGGCGTATTAACGATGATGAGACAATTATGCAGAAGTTGATAATGATCATGGGAAGAATAATCCGTTGAAGAACTTAGGTATGTATATATGATGATCAGGAAGAAAGTAAACAAGGTGGTACAATCAACTCTTTTTTTTTTGCCCGTAGAAGATTCTTACAACAGTTATTCCAATATTCTTGACTGTTTTATTTTTTTTAATCCTTTCAGATAGGAGAAAGGAAGATTGAAAAGACTCCGCCCAGTGGCTCAAATGTAGGTACATAATTTCTTTTTGGTAATTTATATTTCAAAATTATATTTAAGTTTGTTTTAATATACTTTCTTCATCCCAAAAAAATAGTCCAAATTGAGTTTTCAAATTTGTACTAAAAACAATACAAAACTCAAAACTCAATATGCACTATTTTTTTTGGGATGGAGGTAGTATAATTGCAACTAGAACTTTGTTTTTATACAAAGATCATACAAAGTTGGTTTTGGTTGTTTTTTGGGGAGAGATTCATACATTTTTTTGGTTCTTAATTTTTTGGTTTTGTTTGGTTCTTTTGTTCTTTATTTAACATATGATTGGAGAAATTGGTTCTTTAGGAACTAAAATATATAATTTTTGTTTGTTTTTAATATATAATTTCCGAAAGAATGAAATCTTGATTCATTAAAATTCCATTTTGTTTAGTTATTTTTTGTTCGGATGTGTTCCTCCGCCAACTCATTACTACATTCGAAGGAAGAAATATTCAAATTGCTTTTGAATATAAGGTTGCTGATGAAGTTGGAGTCAGTAGCGGGTTTGATGCAGATTTCACTGTGGAGAATATAAAGATTAGTGATTTAAAGTAATGTTTGAATGATGGAATCATTTTATTAACTCAAATGGTATTTTTTAATTTCATAATTAGCTTTAATGTCTTAATAAGAGCATTTTAGTCTACGACTTTATGGGTGCTTTTCCATTCATGATGTTCAAATACCCAGAGACCGAAAATGCTAAACCCTCAAGGCGAGATCCCAGACATCTACTGCTTGAAATGTTTTCTTTTTTCCTCTTAGATGATAGCATCAAATTGATTTGAAGGAAGTATGTCATTGATAACTCTTTTGCTACTTGATTGCGACTAGGTGAATCCATATCTAATACATCTGGGAGGCTCGGCGGCCACAAGCCCTGCACCCCTCCCCCCTCCAAAAAAAAAAGAAAAGCATCTAAACGGAATTTGAAAGTTCAAATTATCTCCCTATTTGTATTTTTCTCATTGCCCTCGGATAAAGGTTTTCTTTACTTTCTTGATTTTCAATGATTTTCAGGAAACCCAACAATCTTTATGGTCTTTCAGTACTTCTTCAATAGCAAATTGCCAATGCATCATATTTATCACACAAATTTGTTGCTCTATTAGAAATTTGTTTGTGGAGAGTAGTTTTATCTTTCCAGACACAATACGGGAACAGATCGGATAAATCTGGACTGTGGAGAGGAGAAAGAGTAAGATTAATTTCGACCCCATAAGGGCAGTAATGGAAGAAAGTATCATTTATGCTCTAGATGCTAAAAATTGCGCTGGCAGTATCACCAACCATATATATATCGTTTTCCATTTTAACACATATTGCATTTTCCCAAACTATTGAAGAGTACTGTAGTTAAATTTTATAATCCATTAAATTGACATATGACAATTTTATAATCCAGATGAATTCGACTAATGAGATACTTGTGAGTAACATCACAGTAATTTTAGACCTTTGCTGGGATATCTATTTTTCATGAACTAAAAAATAAAAAAAACTAAAATACAAAAGTTTTGGATTACTTCACTCATTATATTAGGTTTAGCTATAAAAATCCAAGTAATTTGATACACGTACTACTTGAATCCTCGGCTCTCATATGAACATCCATGTTAATAAACTTGTAAATAGTACATAATCTCAGAGATTATAACACATGTAGTATAGAATATTAATTTTTGTGTATTATACATTATTTCCATCTGAAAATGATGGTCTTGTTTAAATGTTTACTTTTTAGTATAGTTCGCACTTCACACAAAACATAAAGTTTCAAATTGAATAATTAATTCAAGACAAAGGGAGACTTTTTTTTTTTTTTTTTTTTTCTCTTAATCCAAAGAGATTCCATGATATCAATACTTAACTGTATTTGTGGGTTGGAAATGAATCGAATTATGTTGAATAAATATACAAGATCCATATTTTAAACTCCTAGTTGTTAATTTCTTCAGTCATCAAGTGATCGACAGCTCTCAAATTTCAGCTTTGTCTTCTTCCATGGGTGGAACAAAAGGGTAGAGTGAACTCCAAGAATCCAAAGATGATAAACTATTACTATCATCAAGCAATAATGAATGAAATTTGATTGGAAAACCACAAGACTGTGCAATTCGATTCCTACCTGTTAAGTTATTAAGATAAGGCACCCAAAAGCAAGTTAAAATGAGAGCATAAATAAAAATGATCACAATTCACTCTTCTTAGTACAAACCAAAGTCATCCACGTTTCAACTTTAAACTTTGGAACCTCAATTAGTGCCAATCATTCTAACTTTATCCACCTTTCGATCCCTTTCCCCCTTGCTTCCTAAAAGGAATTCATTTTTCTGTACACTAAAAAAAAAAAACCTGTACAACAAAGGAATTCATTTTTTATTTTTTATTTTTTCGGGAAAAATATAGTTATTCTTATTCTTTTTTGGCCACCTTTGTTTTTCCCTCCTTCCATTGTTGTCACCTTTCTTTTTCACCTTTGCTTCTCCTCAACGTTCGGTAGCCAAATAATCAATTCTTAATTGGACCATCTATCAATCCCCGACCATACAAAACCCTTCAATATTATTCCTTTCATGTTAAAAAGATACATGGAATTGACGCCAACACAAACTTTTCATCCTAATTTATGAAAAAAAAAAACTCATCTTATCCCAAAATAATTATCATGTATGATAGTGTTAACTTAATAAAACATAAGACAACGAGGTACAGTTTAGTGGTAAGACACCTCACCTGTTGACCAATAGGTTACAGATTCGAGTCAGGGGTAAGTGGGAAATCACTATTGATCTCTTTAATTAAAAAAAAATTTAGTAAAGCATAAATTATAAAAGAAAGCAGAAAACGTTTGGTTATTGGAATTAGTAAACGACTAAAATCCAAAGTTCAAATGTAATGGTAGATGTGATTGCACGTCTCAAATGTCATTAAAGGCTCAATTAGTTATACTTTCATTCAAATAAGAGCAGTGTGCAATCATTTTTCTTTTTTCTTTTTTTGAATGAATAGTATTTAACTTTAGAATTGACCAATTTTTACACAATATTTGACGAAAATGGAATAATTCTGTTTGTAAATTACTTTTTTTTTTAATAAAGTTATTAGTATCGTACTTCCTCCGTCCAAAAAACTAACTATTTTATTTATTTGTTTAGAGTAAATATTTAGTAGAGTTTATGAGTGGCTACCACTTTTATTATATTGCACTTCTTCCGTCCAAAAAATAATTATCTTATTTGTTTGTTTAGAGTGAATTTTTGGTAGAGTTTATGAGTCGTTACCACTTTTATCTTGTTTCTTAAATTAAAACTGCTATTAATGTGTGGAAGTGGAACTTAACAGTTGGAGCTTGTAAAATAAAGGAATTAACTAATTAATATGATACTGAAATGACAGCCAAACACGGCCTTAACGGTGGAATGAAAATAGAATAAAATAGAAATAGATGGGCAGCAACATCAAACCTTTGTTTATGTACATATCCCCCACCATGGACACTTGTCACTGACCCGACCCGACTGCATCTACTCATAGAGAGAGAAGAAAGCTTCCGTTTTTTTTGTTCATTTCAAAGTGTGATTTGAGGAACTGTCACTGGGGAGAGAGTGTGGGCGCCAGTGATCAGATGCTTTGCCGATGGGGAAAGCCTCTCAGCAACAACTGCCAGTGGTGCGGCAGCAGCAGCAAGAAGGGGCGGCGGGTGAGCGGCGGTACGGCGGCGTTGCGGGGGTATTTTGTTGTCGGAGGTGTTCCACGGCCATCTCTAGAGTTTCTCGGGAGTTCAATTTTAAATGCGTTTTCGTCCTGATTATGAGCGTTGCGATTTTCTGGGTTGCCCTATCGTCGCTCCTGCATATTCGCCATAAGAATTATGGGTATGATGCAAAAGAATCCATCAAAATTAGCGGTACATCTCTCTCTCTTTGCTGACAATTTGATTGTTGTTGGGATTGTCGGTTGTTTATTTGGGTCGACGGTCTGCATCTTTGGGGGGGTGTTTAAGGCTCTCTTGGGGTTTAATTGCCTGGGAAGGTTTCTTTCTTTCTTCAGTAGAAATTTAGGATTTATTGTTCATTGGATGTGGAGGTTGGTGGTGGTTCATTATTAGTGGATAATTATCTGATCTGGGTATGGTTGAGGTGGAAACGCATGTAGTATATGGATTTTCGAGTAGTAAATTAATTAGTTCACTTGGTTAATTCCTTAGTGTTAATAAGTTTTCTGCTGTTTAGAGGTCATGCTTGTAAAAATGTGGCTTTCCTGCCATACATTATATAGGTTTTGAATTATTTGATTGGATAAAATTATTCTTACTTGGACCTTGATTTTAAGTGCATGAACGAAAACTATGTGTATTATTAGTTTTGTGAGCCTGTGTTTTAGTTTTATTCGATGGGTTGATAAGTTAATGCTTATGTATAGTGAAGGGGTTTGGTATTATTATTTGGTTGAAAGAAGGAACTCTTTAAGAAAAAAGGCCGCTTCAATAATAGCTGATGAAATCGTTTTACATCATAATCATCTTTTGAAGTTGCTCTTTCGGTGGTGGATTTTGTTCTGTTGATTTGTTCTTGAATTCCTCAAGCAATCGTTCTGTGTACTCCTTTGAATGCAGTAAAGTCTTTTTTATGGTTACTTTCTGGCTTTATTTTAGTTCTTAACTTCTTATGTGTGCTCAAGTTCTGGTTAAGTATTTCCTTCAATTAGACGTGTCTTCTGTGATAATTAAAGATCAAAGTGCAAGTTCTAACATGAACACTGGGAGAGGCTGGGTATTTTCTCTTGCAAATGAAATTCTGAACATTACTATTTTCTGTGTTTACAGCTGTTATCCAAGCGCACTTCATTCTGCAGAAGCCAGTCTCACAACTAGTTCATCATATTGCTGAGCTAGAGTATGATATCTTTGGGGAGATAGGTGTTCCTGATACAAAGGTTTGCATTCGCAGTTTGTTATTGGTTATGCTGTTACATAATTTTAATGGACTTCTATATTGAACATAACTTTGCTTCTAATTAGGTTGTCATCCTGTCCATGCACCCGGCAAATGTATCTAACATTACAAATGTGGTATTTGGTGTTCTTTCCAATCCGCCAAATGCCTCCCTTAATCCAGTGTTCTCAAGTTTGCTGAAGTCCACATGTGTCGAGCTTTTCCTTCAACAGTCTAATCTGACGCTGACTAATATAACTTTTGGACAGCCTACATCATTTGAGATTTTAAAGTTTCCTGGAGGAATCACATTAATTCCGGAACAATTGTCTCCAATTGGGCAGATTCCGCAAATTCTTTTCACTTTTTCCCTCAGCAATTCTGTTCAAGAAATCAAAGATAAATACAGTGAGCTAAAGAGGCAACTAAGGGTGGGATTGGATCTGATGCCAAATGAGGTAAAGTTGGTTTTACATTAAATGAGGTTAATTTGATGCCTTTGACAAAGTTTTAATTAATAAGTGTGGAGCAGAGCTGTCCTTTTTCTCTTTTTTTTTTCCCCTTTTGTTTTTTTTTTTGCGGTAAAATGAATAACAAAATGTGACTCAGAGCATTTAAAGTAAATTGATATTGATTTAGAAAAACTCAAAACAATTTTGATTGCAAATTGGCAATGAAGCTTTTACCCGGGTAACTTTTGTCAAGTCCAAAGTTTTTCCTTTCATCTCAACTTTAGAGATACAAGATCGCATTATCTGATTTATGTTATAGTACTTTGATACGTAGTTGTAGGGATATTTTCTTCAAGACAAAGGCTATACTATTTCTTTATTTTTTCTTTTTTCTTTTTTATTTGGTTTATTCGAGTATTGAGTGTTTTAAATAATTATTTTTCTCTTGTTCCCCTGTGGCAGATTGTGTACATACAGGTTACAAATGAAAAGGGGTCGACCATTGATCCACCACTTATAGTTGAAGCATCAGTTACCACAAACTTTGGGCATCTGTCACCTCAGAGACTGAAAGAGCTGGGAGACAAGATTAAAGCATCCCATGCAAAGAATTTGGGTCTTGATAAGGTTATTTTTGGTAAAGTCAAGGAAGTCAAATTATCAGCTGCTCTGAATGGGTCCTTTGATGCTATGCCCCCTGCTCCTTCTCCATCACCATTATCGGCTCCATCACCATCCCCATCTTTTCCTTCACCTCAATTTGATCCTCCAGCTCCTGCACCTAACTCTGATAATTCAGCACCTTGCTCTGACTGTGATGCATCTGCCCCTTCCCATTTCAGTATTGCTTATGCCCCTAGTTCACAAGACCAGCACCGTGGTTGTTCACCTTCTGTTCCAAGTTCCTCTGGACCTTCTATGGCACCCAGAAGTCGCCGTCGTGTTATCTCATCTCGTCGTAATGTAAATGAGAAAATTGTGGAGTCTATGCCACATACATTGCCCTTGAGCTCAGCATCCTCTTCATGTAAGTTGCTTCTGCAGATTGCAGGTTGACTGTTGGTGCTATTCTGTTAAGTATTTTCTGAGAATGGATGTGCTCATTTCATCTTTGGATTCTTATATTGATTTGATTTCTTATGCTGGGTGATTTTAAATTGTGCTTTCTAGGGAATTTCCTTTATGTCAATGTAGCTTGGTTTATCATTTGCACTTCAGCTTCAAAAGCTAGTGAATAGTTATGTCGAGAAAAAGAGTTTGTGGAAGCATTAGTTTGATGATTTGCCTTCCTGATCCTTGGACACTATGTTTTATGGTGCAAATGATGAATCTGTACCTTCACTGAGCCAATTTCCATTTGTTTTCCTTTTGGGTGCAGATATGGCAGTAGGCATATTTTACAATCTGGTGGCTCTGCTTGTTGGTCTCTTTGCAACACTCCTTTCTTGCACCTTTTAACTGACGCTTGGATCATAGTTAACAAAGCCTGTGAATTTCCAGGAGCTTAAGTGGTTTAGTTGGTAGGAAGATACACCGAAGTATATATAACTATCAAGAAGTTTGCGGTCAAAGCCACTAACGGTGGCGGGCCACTCTCGTTTACAGCACACAATAAAAAAAAATTACTTCCAGGTGGTGGTTCCCGCAAGGATGAACTCCCACAAGTCACCAAGTCAAGTCACTGATGATGAAGAAGTTAGTACTATTAGTGTATTACTGTGCTGCTTTGCAATCTTTCAAGGAGAGCCCAATTGTAAAACTCTGCTGGCTCTACTTTGAACGTTTGCATTTTGCAACGCGGGCTGAAACTTATCCAATACAAATCTTGTACTTACTGGAAGAGTTTATTCACTGATAAATCCAAGTTCACCATCATGATGTGCTTCAATTTCATATTTATCTTGACAGACTTATTAAAAGAGAAACCTAAGAAATATTTAGCCAAAAACAGTACAAAGTTACTGCGTTGATGTGGATTTATGAGGGAAATATTGATTTTTGATTCTTGCTTTCTCAGCCGGCCGCAGATCTTTAACGTGTCCTGACAAACAATAGAGATTGCATGAAACAGTATATCCTGAGGGATTTATCACACAACTGACTGAGTCCTGTGTCGCAAAGTTATAAGCAGATTCAAATCTCAACTAAAGCAATTTGAAAAACATTAAATAGAAACTAGTCATAATATTCATATAACTGCATTTAAATTATTAGTTGAAACAAGACTAGCTATTAAGAACGTTCTTAAACCCTCTAGTTAAAATTACTTCTCCCTCTCCCTCTCCCTCAAACCCTAAAAAAGAAAATCAATCTTTCCCCATCTTTCCGCCATGAAAGAATGGGGAAATAATTCTACAAATATCCTTTAGCCTTTTTATTGTGTTTCAATTTAGTTTCAATAAATGGCTTGTAGATTATTATCTACAGTATGGCGCTAACATCTTTATCGATGTTTGCAGGTATGGCGGCAGAATCCTTATTGATGTTAGCAGGTATGGCGGCGGTTTCGTCGGTGATTTATGCATATACGATGGCGATGGTTTCATTGAAGGTGTTCGTCAGTTTGGCAGGCATAGTTCAAGAAGATTCAGTTATAGTAGATCTAATTATTATTAGTTTACGATTTGGGGGTTTTAACCGAAGGTTAGTGTTGTATCCTTGATGGGATTAAAAATCTAGCACGTGATATAACTATTATTTTATGGGGTAGATCAGGATAGGTTTATTCATGTAGCGAAACACAACAATAGCATTGTGACTGCTTGTAAGTTGTGTTTTTATGGTTGTATCTTGCTTTTATCAAGCACTGCTAGACGATTTCTAGCAAATTAATGAATTTATCTTTATTTCTCAAGAAAAAGTTAAAATTACTTAATTGGGATAAACTAATCTTTTTAAACTTGATTCTAAAACAAAATATCGGTCCTAGAAGTCGAAAACAAAATTATTGTACTCTTTTTGTCCTAAAAAAAAATTATATTGAATTTTGAGATTTGTAATAAAAAATTATAAATATCCAAATTGGAAGTGAACTAGTATTTCTTTAGGATAGACAGAGTATTATTTTAGTTAAACGAAGTAAATAATTTATTTTTGAACGAAAAGTACTTTTTAGTCTTTGTCTATGATTATTCGGAAATTTATCTATTCCTCAATTCTTAAATATAAGGATCAATGAAAACGATCAATTTTATATTTTGGGTATGGGCGTATGGTAACAAGTAACAAGTAAGTTTTCAAACATTAAAAAAGAAAAAGGAATTCTTATAAAAAAAAGTGACAATTAAGAAAATAAAACTGATTGTCGACTTTATAATTAGTTTTGTAAACATGGACATAAATGTAAAGACCTTGCATTTTAAAAATGTGAACTCTATACAGAATTCCTTGTCGACATTTTCGTTGACTTATAAAAGGTGACTACAAAGTTGATGCCTGATGTACAATTTTACTTTATTTTTTTTACTTTTTAATTGTGTATTAAATTAAATGGTTATGTTTTTCTAATGGCAAGCATAGTGCAATATCAATTTTTAGTTGCCGGAGCAAATTCTTCGTGTTATTCCTAAGTTATCTTCTGTCGGACAATCTCACCTATTTTCTACCTCTTTATCACAGCTTTCCATCCTATCCCTCAATTCTGCCATGAACGGTGACAACTGTTTCAGATTATGAGTTTGTAGACTAGCTCTCTTAAGTCTTAATTCCTTACTAGCAATTGGTTTAATTAGAATTCAAAAATATTTTGGCATAACCAGAGAGATAGGCGTTGCCACCATACTCTCTCTGCGGCCTTAAATGGGGGAAGATGAGATAGGTTTTGCAGCCTTTCTCATTCTTGTTGGCATCAGATTCAGCTATTGAAATCAAAGGTATAACTTTCATCCGTTGTTCTAGACAGGTTTCTGTTCATTGTTTTGCCATTAAAATCAAAAGACTACAAAAAAATGTTCGATTTACATAAACTGGTTGGACTAGATTAGAATAGACGTCTAAATTAAATAGGCCGACTTGGAGGTGGATTTTGTGTCACATTGGATTCATTTTACTGGGAATTCAACTCTACGGTGAAAATGCTTTTGCAAACCATAGTTTGGTAGTGATGATTGGCTTTGAACTCCGAATTAAATAAAGATGAGCACTAATATTGCAACAAGAGAAAGTTAGGAGCATCCAAGTTGCCAGATGTAGTGTCGGAGCAAACTTCAATCAAACAAGGATTCATGAAACGGAAAAAAAAAAAAAAAGAAAGAGAGAAAGGACTTGTAGCAGTCCAGTTGAACTTTTATCTTTTTACATCAATTATAGTAGCAGACGTGCGAATTGTTCATAGATGAAGTGATGATGTTATGAGTTATTGTGTTGATTATTGCTCCAATACAATAGCTGATAAAATTATGGAGGAGACTGGAAGTCTGGAAGTCAGGAGAAAAGAAAAAGGAGGGACTGAGAAATGGAAATGAGTAAATCTAGGAGTTTGACCCTAAAGTGGGTAATTTGAGAAAGAACTAATAATTTGCTTTGGCAACTAAAATTGATCTCGCATTATTGCTAGGCTTTTCCAATTTCTTACCCTAAGTTTTTTTGAGGGGTGAAGTAACTGTAAGCTTCTTAAATTTTATTGCACTTAAGTGTGTATTGTGTACAAGAAAAAATGGAGCCATTCAATACATATAGTTTCCCATTTTTTCTTTAAAAAAAATCAACTCCAGTGGACCCCACTTAAATGTGGTTAAAGCCCCCCTTATAACTCCCGGTGAAAATCAAACCCTGGTTTATTAGCAACCTAACCACTAGGCTGTCATTCAATTCTCAACATATAGTTTTCCATTAATACATAAAATTAAAATTATTTGATTGGGATAAAGTAATCTTTTCAATTTGATTCAGTGTTGATCCTAGAATTCGACAATACTAGTCCATCTATTACTAAAAAATAAAATAGTAATACTAGTCGATTAGTTTCACTTTCCTATAATTAATCACATTTTTTGGGAATTGAATTACAGGATAGAGTAGTTAGGATGCTATGCTTCCTGGTATTAGGCCCGAATTCAATTTTCACCAAGGGTACATAGAGGGGCCGGGGAGGATTAATCCACATTTAAGTGGAATCCACTAGGGTGGATTTTTTAGGGAAAAAAAAACTACATACCTTCTTTTTCTTCTTTTATTTTCAAGTATTCTTTGGAAGGCAAAAAATGCTCATTACTCCCTTTGTCTCAAAAAAAAAGAAAAGAAAAGAAAAGAAAAGTATCCTCTGACATACTCTCTCTGTCCAAAAAAAAAAATCATATTAAATTTTGAGATTTGTAATAAAAATATTACAAATAAAAAAAATTCAAAGTGAATTTTTTTTTGGATGAAGAAAGTATTATTTTAGTTCAACAATATATATATAATTTTTTTTTAATTTTAACGATATATATAATTTTTTTTTAATTTTAATGAAGAGAGTATTTTTTTAGTCTTCGTCTACGATTATTTAAGAATTTTTTTAATTCCTCGAGACTTAAATGTAAGAATCAATAAAAGTGACTACTTTTAAATGTTGGGTATGACGATTGATTGAGAAGTTTTCAATCATCTCGGGAAAAATAAAATTCTTAAAAAGGAATTCTTACAGGAAAGAAAAGTGATAATTAAGAAAACAAAACTGATTGCATCGACTTTATAGTTGGATTTGTAAATATCGGTAAAATGGTTGACGGAATAATGTTTTTGGTAAACTGTAAAGACTTTGCCTTTGCTAAATGTGAACTCTATACAAAATGTCTGCATCGATTGTTTCGTCGACCTAAAAGAGGTTGACTACAACGTCGACGGGCGGTGTACATCGGAGAGTATCTTCGTGCGATAGGGGAGCTGAAACACGATTGATGAGCTTGTTGAGGATGCCTCAAAATATAGAAATGAAAAGGTGGCTTTTTCCAGTGGAATTGATTGTAAAAATGAAGACTTGAACCAGTTAACAGAGGAGCATAATGAGAAGACCATGTCTGTTACCAGATTGCTTCAAGAAAAGAATGAACTTGATGGCGGTTTTAGTGAAGAATCTCGAAAGATGCAACGAATGCTAAGGAGAACATTCAAAGGATCCTAGGTGAGGGAGAAGAAAAGGAATGATTTGAGAAATACTGGACATGAAAAGGCATCTGAGGTGCTTACTGGAGGAGTAGTTTATTCACTGATAAATCGAAGTTCACCATCATGATGTGCTTCAATATCATATAATCCGACTCCGTCCCAAAAAGAAGAGTCATGATTAAAGTTTGATGGACTTATCAAAATAAACATTAAGGGGAAAACAATAATGAAAGAATTAATTGGAGTAGCACTATCGAGATCACCGCTGCAAACAATAATGAAAGAATTAATTAATGAACTAATTTTGTCATGAAATCTGATTAATTCCCATAAAAAAATGTAATTCATCATGTTTAAGTGAACATCAAGATCAAAGGAAGTTTAATTTACTTACTTGTAAATCCAAATTTGAATCCCTTCTGCCATCAATTCGGCAATGATAGGCAACGAAGTGTCGGGATAATCCGTCCAATTGCCAACCGTTACACTATGATCATGTTCAACATTGTGAAAATAACGTCAGAGACAATTATTTTTTTATTTTGTTTTATTAAAAAAATATTACGAATTCAGTGTCCGAACTAATTAAGTGACTAAAGTAAACCATAGGAATTATGAAAAATTAAAGGCTTACTTGCATAGGCTCCAAGGATAAGGCACTGCATCGGTTAGATTTGCATGAAGAGCAATCTGAACGGCCGGATTGTTGAAGTAATCCGAAACATACTCTGAGGAGCAAGGCCCTTGAAGTAGATACTGTTCACGATTATTTCAGGATTCATCATCAGTTAATTAACACGAAAGGAAAAAAAAAAAAAAAAGAAGGTAAAATTAATATAAGCACATCTGACAATAAGATCATCGGCAAATTTCATATGCTAGAATATGTAAAATTTAATCAACAAAATCAATTAGAAACAAATCACTTACAGTATCTATTTCTGAAGTGGAATTACACAAAGGCGAATAGATGTCGTAAGGGTTGATGTCCGCGGTGACATTGTACATGAGGTCAATGTATTCATCGCATTTTTTCGACGATTTAGGGGCCGAAAAATTACAGTTGGATTTGATTCCCATATAGATTTCGTCGGATGTGAGGCTATGCGACCATGCATAATCAATAAATCCGTTGTTGTCCGTTTCTTTGTCAATGAATACATTTCCTAGCTAAAAATTCATCAATGATATTATTATTTTGTCACGTTGATTAAATCTTTGTTAGTCCGGGATATATTTTTTGGCGCATATATATAATAGCGTTGTTAATAATTGGATAATGATTTTGCACGAGAACTAAAGAAATACTTGCAGCGATTCCTTTGAGATTGATGTTGAGTTCATACTGGGATTCCTGGAGAATGAACTGACCCAGATGGATGGCAATAGCGCCCGAAAAGCCTTCTCCTACAAGATAAACGTCGGCGTTTTTGTATTCGGGAAATCTTTGCAGCCAGTTGAGGAAGAAAGCGTATGTATCAGCCACTGTAGTGGTGAAATGGTTGGTTTGGTAATCCGAAGTCTTGTTTGAATAAGAAAATCCAATTCCAATCTCGAACTCGGCAAACAGAATATTGGCCTCTGTGCCAAGAAACAAGAGCACAAATACATTTTTCATGAAAGATGTTAATTACAGCTGATTTAATAATGTTAAAGCCTATAGGGTCTAAATTTAGTCTAGCTAGTACAAACCTTTATTCCATGCATATTGATTGAAGTCAAGATTTTTTCCATCTTCCTTCACTTTGAATGGTCCAATTTCAGTGAATGCTCCAATCCCAACCGAAGAGCAAAGAACTCCTGAAATTTGCATTACAACAAAAAGATTGAAATGTAATTAATAAGCGTTAAATAATTTAACGTGCAACTATTATTTTAGAGCATAAACAATGAATTCAGGGATCATATCAATATCTTCTTCTTCATTGCAAGCAACATTGGTTTCGATGAAGATTTTGATATAAACGTAAGTTTAATTCTGATTAGGACTCAAAACTTGACATACGTTAAAATACTAATTCAAAAAGGAGAATGATATGTATAGTGAAAAAAAAAAATAGTGAAAAAGATATTGAATGATGTGGACTATTCTTGGTCCTTAGTTTTTTGTCATTTTTCTGTTAAAATTTTATTTTTGTAAAAAAATTATATTTTTACTCTTAATTAATAAGTATACATATTTAGCATATTTAGTGATGATGGTGTATTTGTTTTTCATTAGTCACTATTCCATTTCACTACAATTTGTCACTGTCTCTATTATTACTCAATTGGAAAAGGGTTTTGTTTGTTCAAATCCAGGCTAATGAAGGCAATGGTCTCAATAAAGAAGATTTTTGCTAAAGGAAGAATTCAGAGTCCTCTGTTGAAAGATTTTTGCTCGTCTTCCAAGAAAGAACAGGCAAGTCCTCTGTTGAAAGGGCTGAAACAAAAGCAATTTTAAACTTTATTAGAATTGCTAAACAGCTTGGTCACTCCAAGGTGACGTTCGAGTTAGATTCTTTTGAAGCTGAAGAAAGAATTCAGAGTCTGGTTACAGAAGCTCGAATGGACTCGGTAATTAACGAGATCCATGGATTCTTGATCTCGGAAAGGGAGTTCAAGGTCGAACACACTTTTCGGGAGAATAACTTTTGTGCTGATTCGCTTGCTAAATCGGCTCCAAGTCTAGAGGTAGACATAGGACTCTTATTGTTTGAAAGAGTCCCTAGCTGTATAAAGTTGCTTGTACAACTAGAAGCAAGGCGGCTTCCTTTTGTAACGTAGGAATCATCCTACTTCTCTGTAAACACCCCTTCCCCAAAAAAAAAAAAAAAAAGGCAATGGTCTCAAACGGTGTGCAGTATGAATAAATTCTTCTTCATTTTTACTTCTTTTTTTTTTTGAATTTTTGAAATGGTGTGAGAGAGAAATTAAGAATAGGTGTAGGTGAAACAAAGAAAAACACGAAACAACAAAATCCAATGAAAAAAGAGTGAGTATACCTCAAAATAATGTTTTGCCTCTTTTATTGTAATGATGTTATCGTTAGCTTATCAACCAATCAAAATATTAGAATATAATTGGAAGAGGTTATTTTGTAAGAATAGGAAAAAAAAAAAAGAAAAAAAAAGAAGGAAGGTATTGGTGATCTTTCATTAACTAGGGGACTTGCGAAAATTGGGGACTAAGTGCACATGGAACTGTAACCTTCCAAGAATTTAAACACAATATATCTGAGATATTAAGAGAATAAGTATAATCTTGAGATGCTGCGATCCATAACAACAATAAAGGGACGTGTGTAAGTCTAAGTTTGTGCTTCGAAACACCATCATCTTCTTTTGCAATATAGTGACAACCAATCATTTGGAGGGTGGAAGGAGTCCAGTAACGAATGAAGTAAAAAGCTCAAGAGCCCTAGCTGGTTGAGATGCTGGAACAAAATGCCCACCTCCTCTCACACTCGCAAATACCAAGTTTTCATATCCAATCACAAAGCCGCTCACCTATAAAAGTTGCCATTAATTTGATGAAATGGTACTTTCATGAGCTTAAATTAGATTAGTGCTATAAAAAATTGAATTAATTAAACAATGAAAGCAAATACCTCATTTTGGTGGTACCATTGATACCAAGGGGTGACTATTGATAACCCTAACTTGTCAATGGCATACTTGGCGGATGTAATTGAATTAAATGTATCGAGATCACCGCTGCAAAGCACAGTTAGTACTATTGAGCTTATTTTGTCATGAAATCTTATTCCCATTATTAAAAAAAAAAGAGTTAATTCATTTTTAATAAGTAAACAAACCTAATTAAGTTTACTTACTTGTAAATCAAAATTTGAATCCCTTGTGCCACCAATTCGGTGATGGCTGGTAACGCGGTGTCGGGGTAATCACTCCAATTGCCGGTGTAGCTATATATTTAACGTGCAAATTTAAAATATATTGTAATATGTTAGCGGCCGAATAATTCATTAACCATCGAATCTTATAGAAATCCAAAGAAATTAAGCAAAAAAGAAGTACTCTAGTAAAGCGCTAGCTACCTATAAGCTTCTCATGAACTCTTTGACACAACATTTTTATAGTAAAATTAAACAAAAAGATGTAAAACTCAAAACCGCGGTCGAAGGGCTTACTTGCATAGGCTCCAAGGATAAGGTGTAACAGTAAGATTTGCATGAAGAGCAATCTGGACGTCAGGATTGTTAAAGTAATCCGAAACATAATCAGTAGAGCAAGGTCCTTGGTATTCATACTGTTCACTCACACATAATTGCATATTCATCAGTCAAAACAAAACTACATAATCCCCGTAAAATTCTAATTCATATTGAGTTTTGAAATTTATAAAATATATATTTTATACAAATCTCGATATAGATTATTTTTTTGAGACAAGATAAAGTGATACTTATAATAACTACTTGCATACGCAAAATCGACCCGTAATAATAAATCACTTACAGGATTGGATCCTCGAGTGGAATTGCACAAAGGGGAATAAATGTCATATACGTTGATGTTCTTAAGGATGTTGCGCCGCATGTCCAAGTATTGCTGGCATTTGTCGGACCATCCGGTGTTGTTGCTATCTGAAAAATTAAAATTACAACTGGATTTGATTCCCATGTAGATTTCTTCTGATACCAGGTTATGGGACCAATCATACTCTATAAATCCTTTATAGTCTGCTTCCTTGTCAATGAACGCATTTCCCACCTGAATTTCGTCGGGAGATATTTATCATCGTGTTAAACTTTGTTAATTGAGGTTTTTTTTAATAATACTACTAATTAACTGCATGATTAATGAATATTATGCTTACGGCGATTCCTTTAAGGTTGATCTTTTGTTGATTAGGATATTTGGATTTCTGGAGAATGAATTGGCCGAGATGGATGGCAGTATTGCCAGAGTAACCTTCTCCGGCAAGAAAAACATCGGCGTCTTTGTACTCGGGAAACCTTTGTAGCCAGCTGACTAAGAATGCGTAAGTATCAGGAATTGAAGCCGCGAAATCATAGGTTTGGTAATCTGAACTGGTGTTTGAATATGAAAACCCAACTCCCACCTCGTTGTCAACAAACAGAATGTTGGCCTCTACAAAGAAAAACACACAATTACATTATTATTATATAAATATGGAACTCATAATGATCATGATATGATTTTATAGCTAGTGTGTATATATAGATAGTAAGATTAATAGACAATGCCAATTAAGTTACCTTGGTTCCATGCATATTGATTGAGGTCGAGAGTTTTGCTATCTTCGTTCACCCTGAACGGTCCAATTTCGGTGAATGCTCCAATCCCAATTGAAGAGCAAAAAACTCCTGACAAAAGTATCACAACCAACGTAGTAAATTAACGAGTAATTATTAATAAATCAACGCCACATTGTACAATACTCCTTCTCTCTGAAAGAAAAAAAAAAAACTTAACGTGGACTATTTTTTTTGAGACAGACTGAATATTTTTATTGTCTTCCCACAAGCATTTAATTACCTCCAGTAAGCCACAATACGAGTGGCCTCCATGATGCATCTTTTCCCGATGACTCTACAAAGTAATAGAAGAAAGCTCTTCCAGCTTCCGGATTAACCGGGACATAACCTGAATATTGGTTGAAGTCCACCCCATTATAGGGTTGTCCCGGCAACCTATCGATCTTGTCATCTTCTTTTAGGCCATTGCAGTGGTGGTGAGATAGCACCACCAGGAGAAGGACTGAAAAACTTAGAAATGTAGTGTTCATTGCGATAATGATGATGAAGGGTTTATGAATGATGGTTAGTATGTTTTGAATGTTGGGTACGTAGAACTTATAGTGATCCGCAAGACTGCAATTTGATGCCATTTTGTCTCAATCTTACTTTTAAACTACACTACCATGATTTTTTTCTGGATGGATTGCTAGGCAACTAAAATTGGATTTTATGGTGTCCAATGATGCGATTTTGTCTCATTAATTGTTCCTTTTATTGAGTTGAAATCTTACATCCTGGAGAGAAACGTAAAGAATTCTAGTAAATTGTTAGAGTCACATATGTGCCACGAAGACTTTTTACGAAAGTGCAATTTTGATTAATTTTCCACTGCTCATAATATTTAAAGACCATAAAGTTTGCTTCATTCGTGTTTTCATTTACGGGCAGAAAGACCATTCCTTTATTCCAAAAATAAAAATAAAAATAAAAAAAATCCGTTGTTTGTGAATTATTCTAGAAACAGTGCAATTCACAAATTGTGATGTGAAATATTTTTTTTGGAAATTACAACAGAATTCAACCGGCCGGAAACTTTATTTGGAAGTCAGGCATACGTGCGCCAGGAGGTCCCCCCCCCCCTCCCATAGATTGGTTTTGTACTCCTCTTCCAAATGGCAAAAATTAAATTTCGTTCTTACACAAGCCAGTTGATTAAATCTATAATATTATATTTGATCACTAGGTAATTAATCAATGTCCCTTTGGAATAATTGACTAAATCTATAATATTAATTATATGATCACTAGCTAAATAATTACTGCCTCTTTTATTAAGCGCTCATAACTCATAAGCCATCACCTCCTCATTCAAAAGAAAATAAAGAGAAGAGGTATGGTGAAATTATTGATACAGTAGAACGTCGGTAAATCATAATCTATATATTAATAAATTTTACTAATTAATATTTTTTTCTGGTCCCAACTTGGATCAGTATAAAAAGTTTAAAAAATGGTAAAATAATAAGATCGTAATGTTATAGAAAATTTTCTATATCTCTATACGTCCTAACACCACCAACATTAATAAATACCCTAAAAACAAAAAAAATAATAAGAATAATAGTTGTAAATATTTAGTAAAATATGACTTTGTTGATACTATTTTTTTTTTCATCCTTGGAAATGATATGAATTATGTACGGATTTTTAGTATTCAGTAGAATTTTATTACTTGATTGATTCGGATGTAAAGACAAATTTAAATTAAGTAATTTTGTGACTGTCTTATTCTTTAAATTAATAATTTATTAATTTATCAATTATTTAATAGTTCTCTAAATTAATAAATTTTAGTGGTCCCAACACCATTAATAAATTTTGATGGTCCCAACACATATATCCAATGTAGATTATTTTTTTCATATTGTTATTTTAATTTTTTTGTATCAATGTTATTTTTGAATTTTTAACCATGAAAATTAAAATAAATAGGCCATAACTCAAAATAAATAAACCCTTTTAAAATATATAGCTTCAAATGTGATTGTGAATGGTGTAAATATTGACGCAAACTACAAAATTTATTAGAAAATTATTGAAAAACGCAACAGAAAATGTCAAAAGAAAGCGGCACAGAAGATTCTGTACTAATCGTTGGGCGTTTCGATCCAAAAAATTAAAATTACAGCTGGATTTGAAAATGAGAAGGATAAAAGGAAAAAAAGTGGTTTAATTCCGGTTGGACTCATTTTCCACTGAATTTCGAGCGCGAAATTTATAGCGACCCAAGATTTGCTATAATTGTTATTTTTCTATACGTTGTAATGACAGACTTATGTATATCTGTACTATTGCTCTCAAGTTATCTGCTTTATTGAGTTAAATGGTTTAACAAGTTAATGTTTGTAGTTTAGTGCATCAAGTGATCAAATGTAGTAAGGTAAGCCGAATTTGTTTTAAGCAATAGGCCCGCTTAAAGGTATACATTAATGAGTATTATTAATTCTTGAAACTTAACGGTTGCAGATGTCTGGCAGGCCATCAACATTGCTTAAGAGCGTTAGAATTTCTACAACTCGCGTTGCCATGAAATGATTAGATCATCTTTAAGTTTGGTTTGAAATAAAAAAAAACAAAAAAATTAGGGATCATATCAATATCTTCTTTTTCCTAGCTAGCGAGCAACAAATGGTTTCAAGGTAAGATATATACGTAAGTTTATGATCAAAGCTTCGAAACTTGACATACATATTAAAATATTTGTTGGAAAGGTTCTTCCATTCTGGACTAATCAAGCAGTGGTCTCGAACAGTATGCAGTATGAATATTCTTCATTTTTACTTTGTACATTTGACTTTTTGATTGAGAGAGTGAGAGAGAGAATGTATATTAAACAAAGAAAGTCCAAGAAACTGCAGAATCCAATAAACATGGAAGAAGCTGATATTGATAATCTTTCATTAACATATATGGGGAGGAAAAACATGACAATGTGGCTTGCACAAATTGGTTACTAACACAGTGCACTTGGAAACTGTAAACTCCCAGGAATTTAAGAGAATATATTAATTTTGAAATTCTTGATTTGAATTTTTTTTTTTTTTTTTTTTGCATATTTGCAGGGTATCCACCGTCGGCAACAGTGACTAATCCCCCCTCACAGTGACTAATCTTGATTTGAATCTTGATGCTGCAATCCATAACAACAATTAATGAAAGAAAGGAGTGTGTAATTTTCTGTTTGTGCTATTTTAAACACCCTCTTCTTTTAATATATCATTTAGATGGTGGAAGGCTTCCAAAGATGAAGGAAGTAAAAAGCTCAAGAGCCCTAGCTGGTTGAGATGCAGCAACGAAATGGCCACCTCCTCTCACACTCGCAAATACCAAATTTTCATATCCAATCACAAAGCCACCCACCTGTACAATATACATATATATAACCAAACATTTTCATTAATTTGTAAAAGTTGCCACTAGTTTGATGAGAGATATGATACTTTCATTAGCTTATAAAAATTAGTGCTAATTTATTATTTTTTTAAAAAAAAGAGACAAAGTGTACTGTTAAAGAATGAAAGCGAATACCTCATTTTGGTGGTACCATTGATACCATGGGGTGACCACTGATAACCCTAACTTATCAACGGCATATTTGGAAGATGTTATTGAACTATAACTATCGAGATCGCCGCTGCAAAGTGCAATTAGCGATAGAGAGTTTAGCTTATTTAGTCATGAAATCTTATTCCCCATTAAAAAAAAAGAAGAAGTTAATTCATGTTTTGTAAACAAGCCTAATTAAGTTTACTTACTTGTAAATCAAAATTTGAATCCCTTGTGCCATTAATTCGGTGATGGCTGGTAACGCAGTGTCGGGGTAATCAGTCCAATTGCCAGCCGTGTAGCTATTTTCACGAGCAATATAAACTTAGCAATATGTTATAGCGACAGAAGTTAAGCATCGAAATTTGTCGCCAAAAAAAAAAAAAAAAAAAGACTAATGAGAATACTAACATTTTAGAGAAGCTTATTCAAGTGGTATAATCTCTTGCACTTTTTGACACAACATTTTTATATATGGATTAAAAAAAAAGAATAAAATTTAAAAGATGTAAAATCAAAACCGGGGTCGAAGGGGCTTACTTGCATAGGCTCCAAGGATAAGGTGTACCAGCTAGATTGGCATGAAGAGCAGTCTGGACGTTAGGATTGTTAAAGTAATCCGAAACATAATCAGCAGAGCAAGGCCCTTGGTAATCATACTGTTCATTATGAGTATTAATTTAATTAACTGCATATTCATCGATCAATTAAAGAAAAACTTGCATTAATTTGCAAAAAATAAATAAATAAATAAATAAAAATCGGGAAGTAATAATAATAAGTGACTTACAGGAGTTGACCCTGGAGTAGAATTACACAAAGGGGAATAAATGTCATATACGTTTATGTTCTTAAGGGCATTGTTCTGCATGTCCAAATATTGCTGGCATTTGTCGGACCATTGGGTGCTGATATCCGAAAAATTATAAGTACAGCTGGTTTTGATTCCCAAGTAAATTTCTTCTGATATCAGGTTATGCGACCAAGCATACTCATTAGATCCTGTGTACTCCGATTCGATGTCAATGAATGCATTTCCCACCTTAAAAATTAATCAAGAAATCGTAGCGTGTTAAGGGCTTTTAGCCTTTTAGGTTTTTTTTTTTTTTTTTGGAATAATAGTTAACTGCATGATTAATGAATATTATGCTTACGGCGATTCCTTTGAGGTTGATCTTCGGTGCATTAGGATATTTGGATTCTTGGAGATGGAATTGGCCGATATGGATTGCAATATTGCCAGAATAGCCTTCTCCGACAAGAAAAACATCGGAGTCTTTGTATTCGGGAAACGTTTGTAACCAGTTGAGTAAGAATGCGTATGTATCACGGACTGTAACCCTGAAATCATAGGTATCGTAATCTGAACTGGTGTTTGAATATGAAAATCCAACTCCCACCTCGTAGTCAACAAACAGAATGTTGGCCTCTGCCAAGAAAAGAAAAAAAACACACACACAATTGTACATTAGTATAATGGTTAATAAAAGAAATGCGCTGAGTTTCGATTTTTGGTGTTTATAGTAGCTAGGAAACTACAAATAGACGGTAAAAGTTACCTTGGCTCCATGCATATTGATTGAGGTCAAGAGTTTTGCTATCTTTGTTCACCCTGAAGGGTCCAATTTCGGTGAATGCTCCAATCCCAACTGAAGAGCAATAAACTCCTAATTTTGCACATATTAAAGAAAATAGAATGGTCATAATTAACTAGATATATAACGTATAGAATATATATATTTAATGTCTTGCCACAAGCATTTACCTCCAGTAAGCCACAATACGAGCGGCCTCCATGTTGGATTTTTTCCCGAGTACTCAACAAAGTAATAGAAGAATGCTCTTCCAACTTCGGTATTAACCGGGACATAACCTGAATATTGGTTCAAGTCGCCCACCCCATTATAAGGTTGTCCCGGCAACCTATCAATCTTATCGTCTTCTTTTAGGCCATTGCAGACCACCACCAGGAGAAGGAGGACCGAAAAACTTAGAAATGTAGTGTTCATTGCGATAATGATGATGAAGGGTTTATGAATGATGGTTAGTATGTTTTGAACGTTGGGTACGTAGAATTTATAGTGATCCGCAAGACTGCAATTTTGATGCCATTTTGTCTCAATCTTACTTTTAACGCCACACTACCATAATTTTTTCTGGATGGAATGCTAGGCAACCGAGCTCGGATTTTATTGTGTCGAATTGATGCCATATTTGTCTCACTAGTTGTTCCTTTTACTGTGTTGACATCTTACATCTTCGAGTTGAACTTGGTCAGTTAGGGTGTGCGGGGCTCGTCTTCTTCTCCTCAAAATATCCTTTTATCTATCTAAATTCGATATGAGCTGTAGATTACAATTCACAATTTGATGGTGATAGATGATTCTCTAATACTATAGAATATTCTATAGTAAAAGAACTCAGGAGGGTTTTGATCTTGTACAGCCTTTTTGATTGATTGCCCACTGCTCATAAGATTGAGGGACTATAATCTTTGCATCGTCATCTTGTTATTGACAGGCTCCATTTCATGGACATATTCACATAACTCTTCCAAGTCTAACATAGTAGTATTTCATCTCATAATCATACTAAAGAATTCAATCAGAAACGTGATTTGGAATTGGAAAGCAGGCATTCATACGCAGGCCGGGACAATTCAACAACGACAAACCATGCTAGCCAAATCAAATTCAACCAGGACAGGGATTTCCTGGTGGAGGTTGGATGCGATGCTTAACTACCTATTCCTACTACAAGGACAATGTTTGGTGCTAAAATCAGTTGGATTAGATCTAGGATCTCCGATCCTTGGCAAGGGTATGAACACAGATAACTTTTGCAGAAGAAGTGCTGTACTACCGCGGTACATTAACCGCCCATAATAATTTGAGAATTGAATGACAGCCTTGTGGTTAGTTTACTGTCCTTCCTGACAATAGACCAGAAGTTGTAAGGGGTTTTACCCACGTTTAAGTGCGGTCCACTGGATAGATTTAAAAAAAAAACAAAAAAAAAACCCCATAATAAGGAGTTACTAAGACCTTAGTTTCTTCATCTTATATACAGGCCCCTGTTCATGAACATTCCATTGGCTCTTGCCAATTTTTGAATCTTTCAAGCATCCTATCTTACTAAAGAATCCAACCCGAAACGCAAAAATCTGCAGTTAAGTGGAAAGCTTTTAATTTGTGGCCAAGCCTCCATATAGCGTCATCTCGAGGACTAATGGTTACTGACTAGGTCTATCAGTTGGGCTTGAATCCTTAATTAAGGCAGTAATGGGAGGCTTGTCTGCATAGACTTTTCTCCCGTCAGAAGAAACATGCTGAAGCTTGTAAGCAGGACCAAGAAGCCATGACGTTGCAACTCCACCAAGAAAGCCTCCAAACTGAGATATTAAGAATCCAAGTCAGGAAATCATAGTTGGATCAATCCAGAACTGAAATAATGATCCTAATTCTACAGGAAGATGTGAATATACATGTTCTGAAACATAAAAAGTAGTCCCTCATGTTGCTTAATCCGGCAAACTAATTTGTTATGTACTAAATTGCACAAACCAAAAATGAAACATCACAAATTTGAGCTTGGAATTACAACTGCAGATCTCAAATAATTATAGTACAATTATGATTGTGCATCGGAAATAATGTGGTGATGTGGTGTTGTTATACTTACATGTCCCCAGTTATCAATGCCTTTCAGAAAATACCCAAGTGCCTGCAGAACAAAACCATAATGTTGGTGGATGAAAAGTAACTAAATTAACTGATAAAAAGACATGTTTCACGAGTCCCCCAATTTAGCACAGATAAAAGTCCAAAAAAGACAGGAATGCTTAAAAAATTTTGAAAAGAAGAAAATTAAAAGTTGGGTTGGATTCAAAACTAAGAGAACTGTAGTTAATGCACAGAGTCCACGAGGTACAAACGTGATATGATTGACTTCAGCAAACGAAATTAAAGGCATACCGCATTAATAACAATCACTTGCATCATACGCTGTAAATGTTGGTCAGAATTCCGAATCATTTCCTGGTGCCTCAAGAGAAAAACAGAGTTTGCTCCAATCTGATCATATAATCGAACAACCATATCACGTTAGAGAAAACAATTTCCTTTGTCTATGTTGAGTATGAAGCAAAAAAGAAACAGCACATGAAGAAAATTTCGAATTAGTACAGCCATGTATAATGTTTCTGTTCTCTTATATCCAAACATTACAACATGCACAGATAAAAGAGAAAATCCTGTTTTTGTTTTTCCTTGTCAGGTTCTGATTGGCGGAAGTCCTTCGATTCATGCAATTAGAAGAAGAGGAAGTAATGAAGGACCTACCAATCCAAAGATTGCTCCAGATGCACCAACTGATGGGTTTTTACATAGCCAGTAGCTCATTAGCGAACCTTGTCAATTAAATAAGGTATCAAAATGACAGTTTGTTCTTTGAGAAATTCACTAGTATACTCCAATGGTGCATGAGTTCTTACTTGTGATAGCAGATGAGATATAGACATTTAGATATCTGGAACCACCACTAAAGCTCTCAACAGCAGGGCCAATGTTACTCAAAGAAAAGCAATTAACCTGAAAATGCAAAACTGTGTTCAGGTGCTCAAAGCAAAAAGAAACAGAAACACAGCATAGTTTTGAAAAATTAAGATATACCATGAGATGCACTAGATTTACATGCAGAAAGGAACTTGTGACCAGCCTCCAAATTTGTCCTTTCGCAATTAGATAATTTATCTGCTCACAGACATAGCATAAATCAAACTTATTGAGACTACATAATTAAAATTCCATGCGAGTACGATGGCAAACCTTGGCACCCCATTCAAGTAGCCTTCCTCGAGTGGCAAGTTGTGCTACATAGACTCTGCAAGGTGGAAACACAGAGAAAAGCCTTCATTATTTAGAATGGAAAATTAGAAATGAAAGTACTTGTACAAGTTCTGTTTCCTCTTGCTCGCCATTCTTTAGCATCCTCTCAGAGATTGAAGAGCTTTAGATAGCCAAGATTGTTTCTTAGATGATGATTCCTTAATAATGATAATATTGTTGTTGCTGTTATTATACTTACTATCTGAAAACAGTCACTCACTAGTAAGAGACAGAATCAACAGAAAATTTGGAACAACATGCAGATCTTCAGTTTGATAAAGTTATTAGAACTTACGCAATATTAACCCCAATCAAGGTTTCTGTCCATGTTCGTTCTTTGGAGAAGAGCTTTGAGGCTGGCTTCTCATTGTGGCTCGAATCACTACTATTTCCTTCTCCGGAATCTCCACCAAAGAAGAACAAAGACATAACGGTACCAGACATAGCATTGCAAGACCACTGAAGCGCAAGGGGACCAGTATACAGAATTGATCTTTCGTGCAATACATCTCTCAAACGATGCAAATGACCAAGATAAGAGACATACTGCAGAAAAACTAAGGTCAGGACGTCAAGTGAAGATCCCCGTATGTGTGGAATGGTATGAGGATCCAAATAACGGCAACAGAGAAGAAATGACATGCACTATTCCGGCACTTCCCGAATCCAAAATTTTAGACCAAGACTCTAACTTTTTCCAAATCAACTCTTGTAACAGTCGTCACAGTAGTTAAAATAGAACAGCTACAAATAGAAATCCAACCTTCAAATTACAATTGCTGTTAAAAGGCATCATTCCTCTAATTAGGTAGTGATAAGACCAAACCATGCTGAAGCTTGTTCTAGCTCCAAGACATTTATGATAATATCAAATAGTTAACACGATCCCGTTCTAAATTCCGAAAAGGAAAGTAAATGGGGTGGGGGGGGACCCAATTCAATAGTTCCTCTCATTTTCCTTTAGTAACTTGACATCTTGATTGAGCTTACAAGGATTTTCACATTCAAATTAGGCCCAGAATTAAGCTAATTTCGATTCACAGCCTAGCAACTAAGCTAAAATTTAGGAACGCCTAGCAAGTCAAATGCAGAACAACATGATCAATCGAGGAGAAAATTGTGATTAAAACCATCATACCAAAATCGGCACTTGGGTCAATTCAGAAGATAAATGCCATACAACATTGCAAGTATTGAAAGGGGGGTAAACTTACCTTGGAGTTGAAAGAAGAGGAGGGAAGGAGAAACCCGGCGTGGATGCGACGGCGGAGGAAGTTGCCCAAGTGGAGGCCGGCGGCGCTGGTGATGACATGGAGGGAAATGGGACCCACATGGCCACTGAATTTGGTGGTGGTGCTGAACGATGGCCACTGGGCAGCAGCCGTAGACGCCTCCATTTCTTTTCTTCCACCCCGGAACCAAACAAATTTACAGTTTCTTTTTCTCTGAGGAATTTTTAAGAGCAAATGAATTCTATACTAACTCATGATTAGAGAAACAAAAAAATGCAAAACCCAAGTTTCATTCGAACACGGGATAGATATGAATCATATGAGTTGTTCAGAGGATCATTTTGACTTTTGAGTAGTTAGGAATGAGGATAGTGCTAGTTTCAATATATCATGTTGTACACTACTGTTTTTGCTTTTTAAATAAATTAACGAATTATTAAAAATTGCAATACTGATATAAATTAAAAAAAAATTGAAAAATCAAAAGATAAAAATAATTAATTGAAAAGCCCAATTGGATTCTGTGTGTGGATTTTGGTTTGTTTGGTTCTCGAGAGAAAGTAAGAATAACCATTTGTGGTTAAGAGCATTGGTTATATTCACCGAAATAATTTTTTTTTTTTTTTCTTTTGGTGCCGAGGAAATATTCCACAGAATAACTCTATTATAACACAAATCACGTAGGATTCTCATAGTACTTGTTATACTTAAGATATTAATGCGACTACTTCATATTCCTTTTGTCTAAAAAAAATAAAAATAAAAAATAGTTCAATATGGAAAATTTTCCTTAGAGACTACTTTTATTTGCTTTTTGCATTTTGTTTGATGATTTACTGATCTGATTGGACCTAGATGAGCTCTTAATACTACGAATAGATCCTTGTGTTTACAACTTTGACTGATATCCACACTTGCAAGCAAAGAATCTGTTACAGTCACAAGATGAAAACATGCACAACTTCATGTAATGGAGCAAAAGGTGACAATGTATATACTTAACCTTTGATTCATCAGCATCTCATTTTACAGGCTCATTGATCAAGGACATCCAGTTAGCTCTTACAAGTTTGAATATTTTGATTTAATCATACTGAAGATTTGAACCAGAAGCACAAAAATCTACATAAATAGTTAAGTGCAAGACTTTTTTTGGCCAAAACATGAGGATCCAGAGAGTCTCATCTCTCAGAGTTGAGTTGCTGATTAGGTCTAATAATCTCTTTTCTTGTATCGCTCAGCAATGGCAGAAATGGGAGGCTCGTCTATGAATTCTTTTTTCCCCAGAAAAGAAACGCGCCGAAGCTTGTAAGCAGGACCGAGAAGCCATGAACTTGCAACTCCACCTAGAAAGCCTCCAATCTGGGATGTTAAGCATCAAAGTCAGGAAAAAGAAAACATGATCACTTCAAACCACGAGAAATGTGATTGACATTCTAAGGCCTGTACGCATGAATAACTTCTGAAACATAAGTAGTCTTGCAGTTGTAAAGTTGATCACACTAATTTCTCATCCATTAGAATGCCAAACACAAGAAGTAAACATCAAGCATAAGTTACAGAATTTCAACTCCAAATCTCAAATAATTGCCCTACAGTTACACTTGTGCATCAGAAATAATTCTGTGTTTTTACACTTACATGTGCCCAGTTGTCAATGCCTTTCGCAAAAGACCCAAATGCCTGCAGAAAAAAACAAAAAGAAAAAAAAAAGAAAAAGAAAAGGAGCATAATGTTGTAGGATGAGATGTGACTAAAAGAAACTGAGATAAATACAAAGACATGCTTCTCAAGTCTCACAATTTTCTATAGATAAATACAGCAGAAGCTTGAGAACACTAACACACACACTGACCCCTCAAGAGTGAAAATGTGAAATCATTGACTACGGCAGAAGGTCAAGTCTCAAACTCAAGGTCTGTGAGGGATGATTACAAAACAAAACTAAAGGCATACCCCGTTACAGGCAATCACTACCATCACACGCTCGCGTCTGCAATCATTTCCTTGTTCCTCAATAGAAAGACGGAATAGGCTCCAATCTGATCATATAATCAAACAAGCAAGCTAAAATGATTTAGATTAAGTTAGTAAACAAGCTTGAGCAAACTTTATGTTTGTGAGACATTAGAAACAAAGTTGATCCTGCAATGCTGTTGTGTATGAAGCAACAAAGAACAAGTCCATAAAGAAAATCTCAAATGTATGCAGACATGCATTATGTTTCAGAGCTATTGCGTCCAAACAGAAAAACATGGGCAGATAATAAGAAAGTAAACATTATTTTTGTTTTTTTCTAGTCAGTTTCTGATTTGGCCAGTCATTCAATTTATGCAATCAATATAAACAAGAACTGATGAAGAACCTACTAATCCAAATATTGCTCCAGATGCACCGACTGAAGGGTTTTTAAAAAGCCAATAGCTCATTACAGAACCTGGTCAATCAAAATATCAGAGTGACAGTTTGTTCTCTGCAAAAATTCAAACAATTCATTGTGATGACATATGAGTTCTTACCTGTGATTGCAGAAGTGACATAGATAGTTAGGAATCTTCTGGAACCGCTAAAGTCCTCAACTATAGGACCGATATTACTCAAGGAATAGCAGTTTTATCTGAAAATGCAACACATACTTCAGGCGCTAAAACAAAAGGTAACAAGAGAGCATGCAGCATAGTTCTGGAACTAAGACATACCATGAGATGTAAAATATTTGCATGCAAAAAGGCAGGTGTGACCAGCCTCCAGATTTGCCCTTTAGAAATTAAGCTATTTATCTGCAGAGAGACATGATATAAAATTACACTTCTTGAGACTATGAAAATGATATCCCAAGCTGAGTTATGCTGGCAAACCTTGGCACCCCAATCTGTTAGCTTTCCTCTAGTTGCAATTTGTCCTGCGTAGACTCTGCAAGGTGGAACCATATTGAAAAGCTTTCATTGATTAGAATGACAAGTTGAAAATATCTCTTTTGATTCTGTTGCATCCTTTCAAGGACTGAAGAGGTTGAAACAGCAAAGATGGTTGAGCAGAGCACAGTTTTGCGAAATAATATTCCTATAATTCTAGTTGTCATTATTTCTGAAAACTGTCACTCCTAAAACAACAAAATCCACAGAACTTTAGAAGAAGTGCAGATCTTCAGCTTGATCGAGACATTGAAACTTACGCAAGATTAGCCCTCAGCAAGGTTTGGGTCCAAGTTCCATCGTTGGAGAAGAACCGTGAGGCTAGCTCTTCAATGCGGCTCAAGTCCTCACTATCTCCTTCACCAGAATCTCCACCAAAGATAGACATAGACATAAAGGTGCCGGAGATAGCATTGCAAGACCACTTAAGCACACTGGAACCTGTACACGGAATTGCCTTTTGATGCCACACATCTCTCAAGCGATACAAATGACCAAGATGAGAGATCTGCAGCAGAACAAGTAAGATCAGGTAAAGATCCCTGTTGCTAAAGAATAATATGAGGCACCAAACAGAGGTAACATAGAAGCAATGACATCTATATTCCAACATTTTTCAGACTTAGAATTCACACCAGGAGTCTAACGTTTTCCCTTCTTATTTTTCCAAACTTTGTTCCCATCACCAGCAAATTAATTACAGAACAGCTACTACCAGAATAGCTACCTACAAATCATAATTGCTGGTAAAAGGCATCATCAGACTTTTCTGAAGGTTGTTCTTGTTTAAACACATAATTGTATCAACTTTTCTGAAGCCTGTTATTGTTCAAAAACATAATTCCAGGGCTAACATATAAAACCAGTAAAAGTCCAACCTTTTTAAAAGAAGTAAAAGGGGAATAAAACCCACTTTGGTTATTATTAAATGTTAGGGTAGGAAAAAAAAAATTGATGTACTAATTTGAGCACCAATGCGGCATCAACGTAGGAGTGCTGTAACGGTTTACCTTGGAGTAGGAAGAAGAGGAAGGAAGAAAAAACCCTGATAGGATGTGGCGGCGGAGTAAGCTGCCAAGCTGAAGGGAGGCAGCGGTGGAGATGACTTGGAGGGCAGTCGGGCCAACATGGAAGCTGAATTTGGTGGTAGCAGCCGAAGAAGCCACCATTCTTTCTCCGAAAGCCTTTTTTCCTGAAGCAAGGTTACACTTTTTTCTTCTTCTTCTTCCCTTTTTCTGATTTTTCCGACCAATTATTATGTATATATAGTATGTAGTAGCTTATGATTAGCGGCAACAAAGACAAGTTTCCAAGTTCATAGAAACCTTAAACACGGCGGGATTATAAAAATCATAAGCATTGGTTTAAAAAGATCCTAGTAAAGCTAAAAGCTTTGGGCTTTGGCTTTGAAGGGTTTTTCTTTTCTTTTTTGTTTTTTTTCCCCTTTTCAATTGTAATATTTCATTAATTTGACGAACTTGAAATAAAATTATAGAGCTGACCTAGCCAACTTGGACAGAAAGATACCAATATATATTACAGATTAAACAAGTCATTCAAAGGGGACCTTGTCCTAGTGTGGCTTTTGTTTTGTCACCATAGAAGAAAGAGTTACTCCCTCCATTTTAAAATGTAGGTCGTTTTAGGTTTGGAGAAATATTTCAAAATGTAGGTCGCTCTATGATTTCAAGGCAACTTAAAGACTAACTTTCCAACTTTGTCTCCAATAAATAATGTTAACCACTTTTCATTTAGTATTGGTTATAATTCCAAAACAATTAATGATGGGTCAAATAGAAATTTAACACACAAATTAATTATTAAATGATTGTCTTCTTAGTTTACGTGTAGAGTCTAAAGTGACCTATATTTTGAAATAGAGTGAGTAATATGGGAAAATGGGAAACGTGAAAACGTCTTGTGTCAAAATGACAGGATAAGTAATTTTGATGATCATCCACAGGAAGCTAGTGAAATTATGCTGAATCACATTGTAAATGATAGTAAGTTTTTAATACTGCAATTCACAATGTTGAATCCCACTTTTCAGCATCTTCTTTTCCTCCTCAAATCTTTGACTTCTGTTTTTTGGAGCCATAAGCCTGGAGACCATAAAGTAAGCTGAATCTGCTTTATTTTGCTATAGTGAAAGATGATTTTGCCTTGTGAATTAGGCTTTGATTATTGATCATAATGGAACCTACATGAATTGTGTCTTAACTGTAACCCGATCTCCACTCTTCACTAAAAAGAATTTGTTAGTGTCAACCAAACATTGTACAACTTCAAATGATGGAACAAAAGCTTTATTCCACTATATATTGATTCCTTAAATACCTGATGAGAGATAATCTTTGAGTACTTTGTAAGCTATATACATCAAATCTCTGTATCTGATCAGTTAAATCATCAAATCGTTTTGGCTTAGTTGAAACTGAAATATGTTGGAGAAGAACTTACCGGGTGCATTACATTAAGGCAACAAATGGAGACCTGTATATTCAGACAGTTGAGCCACCAGATCAAGTTCATGTCTGAAACACATAATTGCAAGTTTTGTGAAGTGTGTGAAAATTAGCTTCACATATAACTACCTAGTTTAATCAACTTGATTGATCCTTAATTACCTTCGTGATCGACCAGAAGAAGTTCTGTTCTCAGTGACATTTAAAAATTGGAATGCCCAGCTGGAGAAAAGGCTGAATGGCCACCGAGAGAACAGCTGCATTATCCAATTCCTCTGAAAAGAACTACTCACCTCTTCTTCTTCTTCTTCTTGTTCATGGAAGTTGTCGCCTTGCCCTTCTTGGAGATTTTCATTGCATGATGAACCAGTGAGCTCAAAACGACAAACGGGGCAAGTGTTGTGGATGTGGAGCCATGGAAGGATACAATCAGAATGATAGAAATGTTTACAGGGCAGTTCTCGGGCTTCTCCTCCAATTTCAAAGTCATCTTTACAAACAGGGCAATTCGAATCGTTTTCCAGGTGATTTTGAGTGAGGACGATGATTGGCAGCGCTTCAATAGCCGAAACAGGAGCTGGAGGCGGTCCAGGCCGATCATTCTGAGTTAGTTCTTGGATTAGGCCTTCCAATCCAGCTTCATGTACTACTCCAGCCTGTCTCGTATTTGAAATTCCAGGGATCAGGTTTTCGCGTCGTGGAGGAAGCTGATCAGGGCCGATGAACTGGATTAAGACCCGGGCACGACGCCTGTGTTGAGTTTCATCCATGTTTTGGTGCCTCAGAGATGGATCAAGCATCAAGGATAATGCATCCAACAATCTAGAGGGCTGCGGCTCTGGCCGCGCATTCGGGATGATCATCATGTGATGATCGCTGAAAAGGAGCCTAGGATTGGAAAGATCAAGTTCATATCTAAGTTCGCGGAAACAACGGGGACAAATGATCTCGGAAGGATTTGTGGTGGTGGTTCTGATGGATCTTTGGCAATAGCGACACCAGTAGTAATGATATGTCCTCATTCTCTGGATTCCATTGACAGTTACTCTGGATCGAGGCGGCAATGGCAATGACATAATTACTGTTTGTTCTTTTGGTGTTGAGCTTTTTTGGAATGGTTAAGTTTGAGAGACGTAATATGAACGAAGAGGAATGCATTTTGATTTTGTGGAAGATTTTATATAGGGGACGAAGAGTTTTAGCAAAGAAGATAAAGAATTGCTTCCTGCAATTGAATATGAAAGATTCTGCATGACATTTTTATTATTATTAGGATATTGCATTTTGCTAATTTCTTGCCTTCTTTGCTTTTATGGTTTCCGTGTGTCCTCACATTAAAGCTAAGGATGAGTGAGACACATTACAAGGTTAACTCCTAAGCTATTGAAGTTTTTTTTTTATACTTGGAAAATAAAATTAATAACGCCAAATATTCCCTCCGTCCTATAATTATTGTTCAGTTTGAGTTTTCATTTCTAGTTAAAATTGTATTAAAACTGAAATCTCAAACTAGACAATAATTTTGGGACAGAGGGGGTATATCAAATCAAATTGAAACAATATATCATCGAAAGATTAGACATCGATTCAACGTAAGATTATATGTATGTATGTCGAAGTTCTCTTGATACTTTAGTAGTTCCTTTTTCTGCATATTGCACCGTCGACAAGTGACTAATCCCCTTGCTTATGATACTATCAAGATAATTCGATATTAAACTTGCAGGGAATCTATATTACTATACTAAGTCAAAAACCAGAGAGAGAAAACTAAAGGCATGGAGCACATGCCACATAGGATTTAATCCTATGTGGCATTTTCTTAATTTCTTACACTTAAAAATGTACAAAACAAAATAATAAAACTAAAAAAAAAATCAACTAAAATCATTTTAAAAAAATAAAATAATAAAAACCGAACCCTTATTTTCATGAACCAAATCCTAACACAGAGATTGATTGGAGAGAGTACCAAATCCTAACAAATTTTAGAGAGATCTGCATAAACCTTATCACCAGTGAATTTAAAATGTCATGTAAAAAAAACAAATTCATATAAATCCAGAGGTAATCATGTTTAAAACTGAATTCATTACATATTTTATAAAAATACAAAATTTATGTAAAAATGTCTAAATGTGTATGCCTTCCCCGTCTGATGGACGGGTCTAACGCCTAGTATTATATTGTTAAAAATTTACTGATAAAAACTCAATGATATCCAAATTGAAAGCAGGCCGATAAATGGGCTTTCTTGATAACTAAAAAACTTTAAAGCCCAATCAAATTATAGTCAGTTGGTAGTCAAGTTGGGAGCACCCGAACGGGATTGGGTCAAATAATTTTGTCGCCTAGTTCCGCCATCCTTCCGTCTCCGTCAAAACCCCAACGCCAACCCCAATCCAATTTCCTTCTCTCTCTCTTCAAACTCTCTGTCAAGAGAGAACGAGGAAAACTCATTCCCCCCATGAAAATCTCTCCTCAAGCTCCGAATTAAACCCCCCAAACTTCACATTTATACAAGTAATATTAAACACGCACACACGCACTGGAATTGGGCGGAAAAGAAATGTCTCACACAATCTTCCAGACCTCCAAATTCACCGCCCCAACTAAAACCAATCACCACCCGTCCTCCACCAGAACCTTATCGTCCAAAATTCCCTTTTTGCCCCCTTCCACTGTCCCTCTCTACCCTCTCTCCGCGCCGGCTCTCCGTAAGCTCTGCAAGTCTCTCGTAGTCAAAGCCTCGTGTTTGCCGCCGTCGCCGGATTTTGTGGACGGTAATATTGGTAGTACCGGCTCATCCGCGCACTTGGAGAGGTGTTTCCTAACTGAGCATGGGGCGGCTCTGTCTTCTTCTTCATCGACTACGGTGATGTCTCTTCCTGTTATGAAGAAAGATTACGGAGCCTTTGGTGCTGTCACTTTAGAGAAATCGAAGCTTGACATGACCCAAAAGCAGACCAAGTCCAGCCCTGAGGTTTGTTGTTTTTTATTGAAGAATAACGTTTTCATTTTCTCGAGGAATTTGATTTTCTCCTAGCTAGACATTTTGTGATGAATGATCATGACTTTTATTTGCTTTTTCTAAAAATTATTATTTTTACTTTTTCTTTTGAAGTGCTTTAGTTTTGGTATGTGCTAACGATGAGGTTTCTAGATATCGTTTAATCAACTATGAACATCTTTATTGAACCTGTAGCTAAGTTAATATGATGGGAACAGTTGAATTAGGTATTTTAATAGGCTTGAAGTCCCATGCCTAAAAGGTTTGCCTCAAGTTTAAATGTTGTTTGCTGAATCACAAGTTGTAATTCATTCTTGACTTGGGTATTCCCTCAAGAATCAGTTTCGTGCGGACTTGGTGGTGCTCTTTTGAGTAGAAGTGATTAGTTTGTGGAAAATTGTATTCATTTGAGTTTGGAGTAATATTTTAACTTTGTAACTTAATTTATTGAGTACAATGCTTGACATTTGACTTTTTTTGTAGTTGGCAACCGGTGGAGGTGGTGGTGATATCGGAAAGAATATCAGTCATGGAGGTGGTGATGGAGGTGATGATGATGGCGATGATGATTCTTACTTTGATGATTTTGATGATGGTGATGAGGGAGATGAAGGTGGACTATTTAGGAGGAGGATAGTTTTCAAAGAGGTAATACAATCTCCAACAAAGATGTGATGCTGTTACTTTTTTTTCCCCCCTAATTTTGCATGTTAAATGTGATCCTCATAAAAATGTATGCTGCTCTTCCGACAATTTGCAGCTATTTGATCGTAAATTTGTTGATGCGATTCTGAATGAGTGGCAAAAGACAATGATGGATTTACCGGCTGGATTGCGGCAAGCTTATGAAATGGTAAATCTGATTTTTTTATATGAATTCACCTGCAGTTTTCTAGAGTGAGTTGCTAATTTTTGGCAGAATTCAGGGTCTGGTGAGCTCTGTTCAGATGGTGAGATTTTTGGCCATTAATGCCAGACCTACTTATTCAAGGGCCATATCACGGACGCTTCCTCAAGGACTGTCTAGAGCATTCGTTGGCAGGTAAATTGCAAATTTTTTTGTTTTAAATCTGAGTTCTCATCCTTTTTTGTTTTGAGTGTTGTCTATGAGAAAAGGAGTGTCTATAGAATTCATCGTTGAGGCTTAATTTTGTGCTTCTAGTTTGTTCTTTCCGAGTTCTTTTTTAAGAAAGTAAACCAAGTTAAATGCGCTTGTGAATTGTGATACCTCTCGCTGCCGTTAGACACTAAAGTGACTTATTGTTAGTAGCTTGGTGCATTGCGTATGTTATCTTCATGTTATCTCTGGTATTACCGATATTATTATTGAATTTCTTAATTGGAGATTGAATGCCTGATATCATGCTTTGCTTCTTTGTAATTTACTTGTCAACTCATTTATAACTTGTGCCAGTTGTCTCAGACTTCTGTGTAATCCTCGTAAGTTGGTTCATGCTCTATGGTCCTATTGAACCTTGCAAAACTTTGATTTTGAAGTGGAGGTCGACGTTGCTGTTTGAGATGCTTGCTAAAAGCATTTTACAACTGTGAATTAGCCTTTTTTCTGCTGTTGATCTGTTCGTTAAAAGTATTGAGTTCCCATACTATTACAAACTGGAGTTTATCGCATTCGTCTGGATCAATCATCAATTCCATCGTCTAATCTGATGGAGTAGAAAGCTTTGGGAGATAGAAAGATGAAAGATTCTTGAGAAATGTGTGGTGAGATCACGAGTGGAAAGGTTTAAAAGATTGCTACTGGAAGAATTTTAATACTTTTTTGAGAGTTGCTTCTTTCTTTTCGTAAAACCCAAATTGTCAGTACCTTGTGTTTCTTGTAGGAGTTCCTAGGCCTAGTGTTTTCTTAATGTATCTAATGGTTGAAAAAGACCTGGTTTGAAATGTACTCTGATATTTCATTTTAGGCTTTTGGCTGGATGAATTATTATCTTCTGCAGGGAAGTCCAACTTTTAGTTTTATATGTTAGTATGGCCTCAGTCGATGTGAGTTGACAAAAAATTATAGTCCTGCTTGCCCTTTTTTCTTTCTCTTAAGCTCTGCCATCTATACATCCTGGGTTCTATCTATAGTTTTTTTCCTTTTAATTTGGTTATCTTTCTAGGGATTAAAGCAGTGTGTTCTAAAATGTTACATTTTATTGGACAGACTTTTACTTCAGTTTTCCTATTTTGCATAGTGCATTGTTAATTCATTCATTATTCTGGTGCTCCGCTCTTGTTAATTAGATCTTCCTTTTATTGATTAGAAATTTTCTTCTCGAGTTTTCATATTTGCAAATGCAACATCCTCAATTTTATACATTCTTTGTATGTACAGGATGATTGCAGATCCCGCATTTCTCTATAAGCTACTTTTGGAGCAAGCTGCAACAATTGGTTGCTCTGTTTGGTGGGAAGTGACTAATCGCAAGGAGAGGTAGAATTCTGCATCTACCATAGTGTAATCAAGTTTAAACTATAATGATTTGCGCAATTCTGATTGTTAATGAACTTTATTTGGTAATGTTAGGTTAAAACAAGAATGGGATCTTGCACTTCTAAATGTGTTAACAGTGACGGCTTGTAATTCTATTGTTGTCTGGTCACTTGCTCCTTGCCGGTCTTATGGAAACACATTTCGGTTTGACTTGCAAAATACATTGCAAAAGCTTCCGAACAATATGTTTGAGAAGAGCTATCCTCTTAGAGAATTTGACTTACAGAAAAGGTTACAATCTTTCTTCTACAAGGCTGCCGAGTTGTGTATGGTCGGGTTGACTGCAGGAGCTGTTCAAGGATCAGTCTCAAATTTTGCTGCTAGTAAAAAGGAGGGGAGGTAATTATTTACATTCTCGAGTTAGATACCTTTTCTATTTTCTTCTATTCTGAATAGTTCTCATTTTTAAAATCTTGAACTTCTCTTTTTCTGTTGTCTTAATAGGTTATCAGTTACCGTTCCCTCTGTAAAAACTAATGCACTTGGTTATGGAGCTTTCCTTGGTTTATATGCCAACCTGCGCCAGCAGCTACTCTTTGGATTAGATAGAGCAGCAATGAACTATTTTGATGTCATTGGAGTGCCCCTTGTCTTAAGCATGGGTTTAAGGTACTTAATTGCTTACATATTATCTTTCAGTTTGCTTCTGCATTCTTGAAGAATTTTTTTTCCATTCATCAGAGTGGCACAATACCTGCGTGCAGTGCTTGCTTTATTTGTAAATCGTCTTCCTGAGAAATTTTGTCTTTCTGCCCTTGCATTCATCTTCATTTGCTGGGGCTCTTTTTCTGGCTTAATTAAGTAGTCCCTCCATCTCGAAATGGTTGCCTAGTTTGGATTTTCATTCTTAGAACAAATCGTACGAGAAGTGAAAATCCAAATAGGTCTATCATTTTGGGACAGGGGGCGTACTTGTCAAGATGGAAGTTTTGTTGTCGGAAAAGAGTGTTCTATTTCTTGGTTGACTTTAACTTCGCGCAAATATGTTATGGGTGTTTGTCAAACTTGTCTGTAATATGTTATGGGTGTTTGTCAAACTTGTCTGTTTAACTGGCTCGCCCTGGAGACAATATTAGTGGCATCCTACTCTGTGAATAACTGGTGTTTCAAATGCTTTTAGGATCATGAATGTTCAATTAGGAGAGACATCAAGGCGATCTTGGCTTGGCATGGAGGCGGATCCACTTGCCCATTCAGATGATATCCTCAAGGTGTACAATCGGCCTGCAGAAAGTGTGAAGGACTCGGCTGATTCTAAGTGGTTCATATCAAAAAATGCCATTATTTCAGGACTTGGTCTTCTTGGCATTAAAAAGGAAAATGGCGAATCTACAACGGAGGGCGAAACACCTTCTCCCAAGGTTCGCAGGAAGAGAGTTGTCAAGAAAAAGGTGGCTAGTAGAGTATAGTTGAGGTCGATTCAAAATCGATGTGTTCATTTTGCCGCCTGTTATCACGAGGCTGAATTTTTGTGTTAGGAGTGTAGTAGGGGATTGAATTTCTCTAGTCCGAACAAATTTAAGACTAATCAGAGGTCAACGGAGACAAAGTGGAAGGAGACGACGGGGAATTCTATTAATTTTTTGCCCGAGTACTTTGCTAATACTGGTCCCTTTACAGTAGTACAACTTGAAGAATCAAATTGATGGGTTCTTGTTTCATTGAAATGTCCATTTGGTGTATGTAAAGGTGTTAACTACGGGTAGAAGACTTTCCTATATATGCATTCAGTAATTATGTTATCTTAGTCCATTTATTTTGTTGGAAATCAGTCAAAAGACTTTCCTATATATGCATTCAGTAATTAGGTTATCTTAGTCCATTTATTTTGTTGGAAATTAGTCAAAAGACTTTCCTGTATATGCATTCAGTAATTATGGTATCTTAGTCCATTTTGTTAGTGTTGGAAATTAGTGCTGTTGTGCTTAGACAAAGAAAAGGTAAGTACAAGGGTTCTGTTGTCCATTTATTTTATTTTGTTGGTGGTGATGTTGCTAAAAAAAAACTTAGGGTGTATAATACTGGCCTCTAATCTTTCAAAAATTATTACTCCTTCCATTTTATAATTATTATCCAGTTTGAATTTTATTTTTAGTTTATTGACAGAGGGAGTATCATTCTCTACCTTTCTTCGTGCCAAATTAATTTTGGCATCTTTGCACCGGTTTCTTTCCATGTGCAAAATGTTGCCTAACTTGTAGTAACTACTAACTACAATATCTCATCTAGCAGTTTTTTTTTTTTGTTTTTTTTTTTTAATGAACTTCCATCTGAGAATTGCCCATATTCTTTTTTTTTAGAACGTACCAAATTAAACAGGGTTTTGCCTCCCTAAAGAAATGTATGACCGACTCAGGACAATAGGTATACCAAAAGAATTTAGAAGCGTAAAGTTTCATCTGTTCACTGGAGTTTCCAAAATTTGATTTGTCTATGAAAGAAGGAAAGGTAAAATTTTCAGATTGAATTCGAGGGTTATAAACTTAGACTGTAATTTATAAAACTATCAACATCACATGAAGAGTTAAAAAAGTATGTAAGCATAATTTTTAGTTACCAAAAAGAGGTTTCTCGAAATGGTTCACACTGGGACATAGTAGCAGCATAAAAAAGAAGCCCTTACAAAGAAATTTCCACAAACCCAAACGAAGGAACAGTCCAAACAACAGTCCCAGTCAATTCAAATCAAGCGTGACGCCAGTTAATAAAAGAACCAAAACAGTGTCCTAAGACTCCCTTGTCAATTGTCATTACAGAAACGGGAAGGATGGAAAAGAGCCGAGTTTCATGAAGCCTTAAGCCTTTCTTATTATCATCATTACCACTTGTGCTTAATTCGTGTACAGTGAAACAATTCACAGTTAAATCCTCAATAATAATCATGCTTTTACGTTAATGATTAAATCACAAAAACACAAAAGCTGCAAAAATAACTTCTTTGACGGACTGTGTGGAAACTGCAAATTCGTAAATGTCACAAAATCTTATCAAAACAGAGGTAGTATAGGAACCGTACAAAATGCAAATAGTGATTGGGAGAAATTGCTGGTCGGATCTTTGGGACCTCGTTGGTCGTAATCTTCCATTAATAGGAATCCTCGAACAACAAAGTCTGAGAATGACATGTCTAATCCAGTTGCCCTGCTTTCGTTTAAAAGGCAGAAGAAAATCTCATCTTTTGGGTAAAAAAAATAAAAACACACACACACAATCTTCATCTACAATCAACCGTTTACCATAAAGCCAACCACCAGCTTCACGACGGCGATGCAGGGCTCAACCATCCATTATTGGCTCGTGGAGCACCCAATAGTGAGCCAATTCGAATGGAAACAAGGAATCACATTTGGGTCTTCGCCCCTGTTTCTCAAACTCTCACTCCTAACCTATCTTACTCTGACCTTCATCCTCCACCGCTTCCCGGTTCCGCCGCCGTTCCGCCCCGCCACCCTCCGCTTCATCACCGCCGTCCACAGCCTATTCCTCTGTATCCTCTCCGTAATCATGGCCGCAGGCTGCATCCTCTCCACCCTACACCACATCCAGATGCGCGGCAATGATTGGACATGGGCCGTCTGCTTCCCGGCCGACCGGACCCCTCCCCGTGGGCCGACGTTCTTCTGGGCCCAGATTTTCTACTTGTCCAAACTCCTCGAATTCATCGATACGCTATTGATTCTACTCAGCTCGTCCCGATCACGGCGGCTGTCGTTCCTGCACGTGTACCACCACACGGTGGTGGTGATCATGTGTTACCTCTGGCTTTCCACGTCGCAGACGCTTTTTCCGGTGGGATTGGTGACCAACGCCTCGGTTCACATCGTGATGTACGCTTATTATATGTTGAGTGCGCTGGGAATCCGGCCACGGTGGAAGAGGTTTGTGACGAATTTCCAGATCTTCCAGTTCGTTTTCGGGTTCGCCATATCCGGGTTGATGCTGTATTACCATTTCACGGGATCGGGTTGCTCTGGGATGCCCGGCTGGTGCTTCAACACCATTTTCAATGGCACGCTTTTGGCCCTTTTTCTTGATTTTCATTCCAAGAATTATGGCAAGGAGAGCAGCAAAATGGCTTGAGAATTGAAAATCGTCACTAGTAATTTGAACGTAATCGAGCGTGGGGTTTGGCGGGCAAAAAGATCATAAACATATATCGTTTTTTTATTACTCCCTCCGTCCCATAATTATGGTCAAGTTTGGATTTTTATTTTTAGTTCAAATTATACTAAAAGTCAAATCTCAAACTAGACAATAATTTTAGGACGGAAGGAGTAATTTCAAAATATTATTTACTGTTATTATTGGTTGTACGTATTTGAAAATGCAAGAAGGCAACACATGTAGTATAACGAAAGTAAAATGGTGACTTTACAGCTTTACCTGTAAACAATTTTCAAATTTAGTAAGTATCAAATATGGATGGAGATGAATTAACTAACTGAATTGCCTATAGTGTCGCAAGGATTTATGATGAATCTTCTTATATCACTAAGAATGTAAACAATTGGATTTATTTAGTGAACGATGCAGTCAGTGTATGTGGCACACTCGTTAACTACTCGTATTGTGTTTATAAAAGTAAATATACCAATCGTCTTGTGTCCCGTTTTTATAGTGTCCAATCAGATATTGGATCATTTTATTAGAAGAATTCATTTCCTTCTAAATTTTCACTTGAACCAAAAAAATGTCACTATACCCATGTTTTTACTCACCAGATTGCACAACATTTTACCGGATTATGGAGGACCCGATAAATATATCTACATAATACAGTACAACATTAGGATCAAAATCAACGACTAAACAAGCAAAATTGAAAAAATAATAATTTTTGGGGATGAAATTTCAAAAAAATCCAAGTAGAAGTAATGGGTGGTCAAATATGGCATTTCCGGCCCTAATCTTCTGCTCCCAGTTTGTCTATCCCTTTTTGCATTAAAAAGTCTAAACAATGACGTGGCTCATTATGGAGCTTCCATTTCGATAGCAGAACTAGATTCATCATTCTTTAGGGATTCATCATCATCGTCAACGGTTCACTCTTTTTAGCCACCACAATCCACCGCCGTCTCTTGCGGCGGCGCAGCCTTCTTCGAGAGAAAATGCAGAGCCTCTACTACTCAACCATCCATTACTATCTGGTGGACCACCCCATCATCAGCCAATTCCAATGGAAGCAAGGCACCACATTTGCCTCCACTCTCCAATTCCTCACCCTCACCGTCCTAACCTACCTCTCTCTCACCTTCCTCCTCCACCGCTTTCCGATACTACCGGCGTTCCGCCCCGGCGTCCTCCGCCTCATCACCGCCGTCCACAACCTCATCCTCTGCCTCCTCTCCCTCATCATGGCCGTCGGCTGCACGCTCTCCACCCTACACCAGATGCCGGACAATGACTGGACATGGGCCGTCTGCTTCCCCGCCAACGAAACCCCGCCTCGTGGGCCGACGTTCTTCTGGGCCCAGGTTTTCTACCTGTCCAAGATCCTGGAATTCGTCGACACGCTCTTGATCATCCTCAGCGGGTCCCGATCTCGACGGCTGTCGTTCCTCCACGTGTACCACCACGCGGTGGTGGTGGTGATGTGTTACCTGTGGCTGTCGACGGCGCAGACGCTGTTTCCGGTGGCGCTCGTGACCAACGCCTCCGTGCACGTGCTGATGTACGCTTACTATTTGCTGAGCGCGCTGGGAATCCGGCCGTGGTGGAAGAGATTGGTGACGGACTGTCAGATTGTACAGTTCGTGTTCAGCTTTGGGATATCCGGGTTGATGCTGTTTTACCATTTTACGGGTCCGGGTTGCTCCGGGATGCTGGGCTGGTGCTTCAACGCCGTTTTCAATGCCTCCCTCTTAGCCCTCTTTCTTGATTTCCATTCCAAGAATTATGCTGCTGCCCACAACAAGGCAAAAAAACGACCTTGATACACTGCAAAAAAAAACGATCGTATTTGTATGTTTGCTTTATTAAGTTTAAGCATTTTTTTTTTAAAAAAACATTAATTTCGGATAAAGTTTCACAATTAACACTCCTAATCTTATTCCATTTTCATATTCTTTCCATTCGTCAATCCATCCATGCATTTTTGTGGAGTACGTTACAACAATACGCTAAGAAAAGTGGAGATGAAAAGTTTACTGTTTTTTCACGTGGGATACCGACGTTTTTTTTTAATACAAAATTCGTTGATTTTTGTGTTGGTAATATCACTAGTCCATAAGTAATGATGTTATAATGACAAATGTAATATTAAAATTATTTAGTAAATGTAATATTAAAATTATTTGGTAAAATTATCGAATTATATAAAAAAGGATTTCACAAGAGAAATTCCAGGAATGTTACTGTAATGTCCTCAATTTTCTTCCATATTGTTCAAATAAGATCGAGTAACCCCTACATCCTAAAAAGTTCGATTCAGGCAGTACAAAAAGTAGTGCAAAACAAGAATGAACTATGAGTTTGAGAGGTGGTGCAATATTCTTTTGGTACCAGGAGAAAGGGAGCTTGCTTTTATTTTTTTTTTTTTTTGTGTGTTTTTAGGTATTTTTTGAATTGGGAATGTAAAAATATGTGTTGGAATTATAAAAAAACTATGCTAGAACGAGGCAGTTATTAATAAAATAAATTGAAAAAACCATAAAAAAATCAAACAAACAGAGCCTTTGATTGCTCATTTTCATACTTATTTTGATGTTCATTCTCCAGCTCTGGGCTTTTACGGAAATACAGCACTACTATGATTTCGAGATTGCTCCCGAAGTAGTAACGTACTAAAAGCACTTCACTAATTTAGCAAATAGTCGAAAACAACTTGATGACTTAAAAAAGTAATTTAAGTGGAAAATGGCTGACAGAGGCAAGGAATCAGTTGATTACAGAAGAAGCAAAGAAGCCTTCATTTTTCTGCCTGTCGCCCTGTCCACAGCCTCTTAAGTAAGAATAATGTCAATGGCACTCCTTCACACGTATTCTTCCACTCCTTTAAACCCATCTTCATCTGGCATACTCAGCTCACTCATCTCCATCATTACTTACTGAGTTAAGTAGACTTATGGCGCTTGCCGGTGCGATTACCACTACCTGGTTTGCCTTACTAGTAGTGCTAGCTACAGGTAATTAAACATCTACTTCCATGCAAAGATGCTTCTGTTTACATGTGTAGCCACCTCACAGATTTTTATTCTGCAGGAGCGACTTCGGCCAAGTCCGTTAATTTGACAATCATAAACAACTGCGGAGAAACTATATGGCCCGGAATAGCACCGAATAACAATTCCGAGTTCAATGCCAACTTCAGCGGCGGTGGTTTTACCTTGAAAACTGGCCAATCTGCTGTGTTTTCAGCGCCGCCAGGTTGGAATGGCAGGATATGGGGGAGAACAGGTTGCAACTTTGACAAAGATGGCAGTGGTAAATGTGAAACAGGAGACTGCGGAAGCACAATAAAATGCAGCAATCCAGGAAACCCACCCGCTTCAATTGCCCAATTTGCCTTTGGAGATCTAGATTATTATGATGTTAGCCTGGTTGACGGCTTCAACCTGCCCATTGTTATCAAACCTATATCAGGTAAAGGCAATTGCAGCACTGCAGGTTGTGACAGTGACTTGAGGCCCAATTGTCCATCAGAATTGGCTGTCAACTCGACCGGTAAAACCATCGCATGCAACAGCGCTTGTAATGTGTTCAACAGAGATGAATATTGTTGCACCGGGGAATACTCTCTTCCGATGACATGCATGCCCTCAAATTATTCCAAAACTTTTAAAGCCGCATGCCCTGCAGCTTATAGCTACGCCTATGATGATCCCACCAGTATGATGACATGTTCGGCAGCAGATTATGTAATCACCTTTTGCTCAGCAAGGTACGTCATCGATCTTCCATGCATCTGAGCATAACAACAGCAATTTTATACAGATCATTAGTCTACAATGCATTTATAACTAATCACAATAACAACTAATTTACTCAAGTAGCACAAGTATTTGATCTCTGCAGTTCATAAGGCATGAAACTATGTCTGCCATGCTAATTACTCACAGAATATGCTATTGTGTAACTCCAGGAATCAAACGCAGTGCACATATCATGACAGAACGCTTACATGTAATGGAGCAAAGGGGTTAAGCTCATTTTATCACATATGGCAGACACTGCTGCTAGTCCTACCAGCATTTTGGAACTTACAAGCAGTTTTTTGATGGAATTTTTTAGCATAGGATGCAACTAATAAGCCTAAATGTTCGACTCTATTCTCTCGCATTTGGTGTAATACAGTTAGTTTGATCTACTTGGCACATAAAAAAAAGGTGCTGAAAACTGTAAAGAGTATAAAAATCAACCAACAACTGGTCACCATTCAATTTTTGTTAAAGAGCTCATTCTTCCTCATAGGTTGTAATATAGTATTTGCCTTCACCACAGACCATGGAATTCATTATCAGCGTCTTGATAACAAATTTAGAGTATTTTACTCAGACATGTGTACAAATAAGGTAATGTACATTATACAGTAATGTATACCTTTTCATACAAGAAGCCAATTAGCCAAGGTCTTTCCGCTTGATCCAAGACTTGCAGAGTTAAAATTCCAACAGCCATGCCTTTAATTGCTTGAAGCACTCACTTAGCATTGAACAAGATGACCAGGTTACAACCACTTGTACTCTATAACCATCAGTAGAACACTGCTTAAGAATGTGCGCCCAATTCTCAAGCCCAAAATTTAGGGACTCTTCTTTCCTTTTAGTTTTCGAAGGCATTGAGAAGAGTGTATTCCCACCGAATTACCCAGAACAATCAACCTTCTTAGGAGCATCACCAATTTGCCTATTTGATAATGTTGAGTAATAATAGTTCATCACTATAGTTTCACAATAAGTATCAATGTCAAAACTCGTCTGAACTGCCCAATCCCTTGAGTGCTTTTTGATTTTGCAAACTTTTGTTCACATTCAATTCCTCGGATTCATTAATCTCGAATGGCAAAACAACAACAGGAGCAGCTGGCACAGAATTCCAACGCTCTTTCAAAAGTTTCTTGAACTTGAGGACCATTTGCCTTCGGAATGGTAGCTCCCGTGTAAAAGAATCTAAAATAAGAAATGCCAGGACGTACTTGAATGGAACAAGGAGGAGAACTGTAGCACCTAATAATAGCAGCAGAGCGACCTCTGTTGTTATCTGGAAAGTTTCGAAGTTAAACATGATTTAGCAGGGGTAACATAAAGCAAGACAGAAAAAAGGAGGGGAAGAAAAAAAAAATATTGTTAATTGACATTTTTGTTCATTAACTTAAAACATCCTATGTTGCGTATGAGAGTTGAAGTAGCATTGCCACATCAAATAAAATTTTTGTGCAGTTCTTTTTCATATTTGATCTCACATCAGTATATTGTAACATTCCAGAGTACCTGAGGTTGGCCAGCAAGTATAATTGATCGAACTTTTAGAAGGGTAATGTTGAGATCCTGGAGATACTTTTCCACTTCACGCATGGCCTGTTTAAGTGCAATAATCTTCTGAATTGTATTTGATGGTGGCTGATCACGTATTGTAACTTTTCCAAAATATCTTCCAAGGCGGCCTTGTTCTTTGAGCCCCTTCAATAATAACATGCCAGCAGCCAACATCATCAAGGTCATTGGGAACAGATATGAGAGCATATTTCTGATCAAAACAGATAACCGAGTTCTATGGATCAGTAAATAAAATTTGGTACAATGGATGACATGTTTCAGAATCCAAAAACATTAAAGTACAATGCTAAAAGTACAAACTACCTTTTCAACGAAAATAAAACATTTATAATATAAAATAAAAAATTGCACAAAGCTGCCTTGATCAATATATAGACACACATTTTTCAATCTATATAAAATTTTGCTTACAGAACAAGAAATTTCTGTAGAAAATGCTATGCCAAAGACATAAGAACAGCATTGGATTTTCATGTTTTGAGTGACCAAATAAAAATGAGTTGGACTACTGAAGAAAATATCTACAACAGGACGTAGTATTAATTTTATGAGAAAAATATTGGTAGGAGAAAGAAAGGGCATATCATTACAGTCAACTTACCTAAAGATAATGGTATATAAGAACACTAGAAAGGATGTAGTCACTAGCGGTTCCTCCCACCTTCTAAGCCGTTGGAAGTTTTTAGCAATGACAGTGATAGGAAGTATGAGCTCCTGAAAGAAATTAAAGCGTACAATTAAGGAAATTTAACAACAAAGATAAGCCCACTTTTAGTTATTCCACCAACCAAAGTTTTCACTTGAGCAACAAGCACACCAATATTACAGAGACTCACGGCATATTAACAGAAATACAACAAAAAAACTCTACGTACACAAAGAAAGTAAAAGGTCACAAATTTAGAAGCTACGCTTGTTGCACACAACATAAATACAAATCTCAAATTCCACTCTGAACAGTGCGTCAAAAGCTACATAAGTATATCCACTAAGAAGTTTTGTGACCTTTGGGTAAACCTTAAAGCCTTAAAGCCTTAAACATTTCACTGCACATTCACTAAATAGAGAAAAAGAATCACAGACACACACACACACAAAGATTAGCCAATTCCAACCTTAAAAAGATCAATGTTAGTGGGTATTCCTTCGATGATCGCCGCAGTGATTGTTGCTTGTGTTTTTTCAGCCACTTTAGATTTACTTCTACATGTCATTGCCGCTTTTTCAACCAAACTCATTCCAGCGACAACGAGATTTTTACTGAGTACAGTTCCATTTTTTGCTGGCAAGCTCTTCCAAAAAGCAACCGATGCACTAGAAGCCCAAGATGGAGATCTCATCCACTTCCGCAAGTACACACTCCCATCAATATCATAGATATGAT